ATTAGTATTTAACTATTTAGTATTTAGTATTAGTATTTAACTATTTAAATATTTAGTATTAGTATATAACTATTAGTATTTTGTCTTGCTTGACTGTTTTCCTTTGTTTCTGCATTTTCTCATTTCTCTGATTATATTTGCTCTTTGAAACTCAGAGAAGACCTAAGAGGTTAAAACTTTGGTACAAATAAGAGGTGGGAGGGAGACACTGGAATCTGCTCCCAGGAAGGCCCCATGGGGTCCTTCTTGATTTTACAACCACTATTGTGATTCTAACCTTATAGATTATTATCTGATTTTAAACTTTTATTTTAGCAAATGTATTTATTTTTAATTATTACTTTTAACAACTTTTTTTTTTGGCTGTGGTGGGTCTTTGTTGCTGCGTGTGGTCTTTATTTAGCTACAGTGAGCAGGGGCTACCCTCCTGTTGCAGTGTGCAGGCTTCTCCTGTTGTGGTGGTTTTTCCTGTGGCAGAGCACAGGTTCTAGGTGCGAGGGCTTCAGTAGTTGCGGTTCCCAGGCTCTAAAGCTCAGGTTCAGCAGTCGTGGCGCACGGGCTTGGTTGCTCAGAGGCCTGTGGGGTCTTCCCGGATCAGGATCAAACCCTCGTCCCCTGCATTGTAAGGAGGACTCTCAACCACTGGACCGCCGGGGAAACTCTGTTTTAAATTATTTTTTAATGTATCTTTTTATTTATTCAATGTTTTGGACACTCCTTTTGGCATGTGGGATCTTCGTTTCCTGGACTAGTGACTGAACCCGTGCCCCCTGCATTGGCAGGGTGGAGTCTTAATCTGGGACTATCAGAGGAGTCCCTGGTTTTGAAATTTTTATATATTTATGTGTTCAATGCTGTGTTATGAGTTCATCTGTTAAAAAAATCATTTTATTTATCTAGTTAGTTTTTGGTCGTGCTGGGTCTTTGTTGCTGTGTGGGCTTTTCCCTAGTTGCGGTGAGCAGGGGCTCCTCATTGTGGGGGCTTCTCTTGTTGTGGAGCATAGGCTCTTAAGTGCAGGAGCTTCAGTGGTTGCAGTTCCCGGGCTCTAGAGCACAGGCTCAATAGCTATTGCATAGGGGTTTAGTTGCTCTGAGGCTTGTGGGATCTTCCAGGATCAGGGATTGAACCTGTCTTCTGCACGGGCAGGTGGACTCTTTACCACTGAGTCACCAGGGAAGCCCATGAGTTCATCCATTTTGTTGCGCATAGAAAAAAATCTGTTCATTTCATAGAGGTGTCAGTGTCTACATGTGTAAAAGTCCACTTTTACTGTAATTTTTTATCCATTCCATTGTGGATGGACATTTAGTTCGTTTCCTATTTTGGGTCCTGCAGCAACTGCAGGAGAGCAAACAGGGATTGCGAAATGAAGGTCAGCCTCTGAGAATCTAACAGGTGAAGGAATCAGATTTTTTTTTAAATTATTTGTTTGGCTGTATCAGGTCTTAGTTGCGGCACGAGGATCTTTCGTTGGCAGCACACAGACTCTCCAGTTGCAGTGTTCGGGCTTCCTTGCTCTGCAGTGTGTGGGGTCTTAGTTTCCTGATCCGGGATCGAACCCGAGTCCTCTGCACTGCAAGGCAGATTCTCAACCACTGGACCACCAGGGAAGTCACCCCAAAAGTGCTTTGCTTGATCTCTTGTGTTTATATGCCTCCCTATTTTCCCTCTTCCCTAGCTTATTTAGCTCATCTGGATCTGCTGGGGAACCAGCATCAGCACTTTTTAAAAAGTTCCCCAGGCTTCCCAGTTGGCTCAGTGGTAAAGAATCTGCCTGCCAATGCAGGAGATGCGGGTTCGATCCTTGGGTTGGGAAGATCCCCTGGAGGAGGAAATGGAAACCCAGTCCAGTATTCTTGTCTGGGAAATCGCGGGCTACAGTCCATGGGGTCTGGAGAGAGTTGGACACAACTTAGTGATTAAACAACAGGTGATTCCAGTATCCTGCCAAGGCTGAGAATCAGTGATTCAGGCTTAGAATTTTAGAGCTGTGTGTTGGTGAGGCAAGGAGTTCCAGCTGGTGTGTGGGCATTGCTTGGGGAATCTTGGTGGGCCCTGCATCAGGAAGTGGGCTCTAAATGCCAGCCTGGGATCAGAAGGAAGATTGGAGGTGGTGGAGAGCAGGTGCTGCCTCCTGGAAACACCCTCAGGGTTCCTCCATCTGGCAACACACTGTGAGCACCGTCTCTGGAACTTGTTAGAAATGCAGATACCTGGGTTCTTTCTCAGATTGAAGATTCAGACTTTTAAGGAGTCCTGTGCACACAAAAGTTTGAAAACCACTGATTTTAAAAGTTGGCAATTTCAGGATCCGAATCCAGAGCATGCATAAGATTCCTGCTGATGTTGTGTATTATCACGGGGAAAGGCAGTGCCTCAGTTTCCTCATCTGTAAAATGTGTCCCGTGGTCTCTCATGTTGTTTCCAACAAGAGGTGCTGGTCCAGTTTGAACTAAGTCTGAGTTAGTTGCAAGTTGAAAGCTTTTAAGTTGCCATCATGTACAATGTTAATACCGTTAAAAAGACACTACAAAAATTTAGCTGGTGTGTTTCTTTATGGTTTATTTCTTTAATTAATATGCATCGATTGATTTTTGCCTATGCTGAGTCTTCGTTGTGGTGAGTGGGCTTCTCATTGTGATGGCCTCTCTTGTTGTTGAGCATAGGCTCTAGGCTCATAGACTTCAGTAATTGCAGTATCCGGGCTCAGGAATTGTGGTCTTGGGCTTAGTTGCTTCGAGGCATGTGGAATTTTCCCAGACCAGGGACTGAACTCATGTCACCTGCACTGGCAGGCAAATTTTTATCCACAGAGCCACCAGGGAAGTCCCTGGTGTGTTTCTAATAATGAGTTAGTGATCAAGTAGAAGATTAGGGATATTTTTTAGGAGGGAAATGCATAAGAAAAATAATTAAAGTAATCATCCCATTAAGCAGTGTTATTGTAATGACCAAGGATCCCCCAAGTTCTGGAAATTAACTTTTTTAAATAAACATTTTACTTTGAAACAATTTTAGATTTACAGAAAAGAAGGCACAGAGAATTTCTCTTTACCCTACATCTAGAGTCCACTATTACTAGCATCTGATACAATCTTCGCAATGAATAAACTGATATTACTACTAGAAAAAACTCTGTATTTTATTTCTACATAGATTAATGTTTTGGAAATCCATAGCAATTCCATGTGTTCTAGTGATTTTGTGGGGGAAATATACAAGGTCAACAAAATGTGTTGAGAAACAACTTCAGGCTGGTTACTGCTTGCTCAGCACGGAAGCCGAAGAAGAGACCTGCTGATGTGGCCTCTTCCTATACTGCTTGGCTGTGCCAGGGGTCACTTGGGGCCATTTATACCAGCCCCTCTATAAAGTCATCAACTAATGCAGTTGGTAATTTGGCAGATTGGAGTGAAGGAGCCAAATAAAAATGAAATATTGTACCCAACTCTCCTGCCCACTTTGCTATTTTTAAGGTCAGAAAGAGGTCCATGTTCCTTGGGCTCCGCTGCAGTGAGTTTGGAAGCTGCAAGTTCATGATAAACTGTTGATGTCTCTGCAAACAGAAAATCAAATCTCCAGACACAATCCCAGCTCAGCAAACCTCTCAGAAGCTGCAGGCAGGCCTCAAGGTTATAAAAGGCCCTAACCGGTGATGGATGGCTGCCCTGGACTAGATCTAGTCATCAAGTCAATCCCAGAAAACCACGAGCTTTCCCTTAACCCCATTATTCTTCCAGCATCATGTCTAAGTAAGTTGAAAGGGGGGCAATCACATATCCCCTGGTGGCATCTGGCAATTCTCAGGGGATGTTCTGGCAATTTGGTGGGCAAGCGAGGGCTATGCTACATGGATTTATGCTGACACATGTGATTTAGATGGATGAACTTGGAAGGTTCCATTGGTATTAAAATGGAAGAGTTCAAGTCGTTTAAAGAAATTCTTTCTGCAGAAGGCAACGAGCAGCCCCAGTAGCGCACCCTGATACACAGGCTGCATGACTCTGGCTGAGGTGCCCCAAGCAGTCAGGAAGCCCCTCCATACGTATTAAGTTGTTAATTGCCACACTGGATTCAAGCTTGTTGCTGTTGTTCAGTCACTAAGTCGGGTCCAGCTCTTTGAGACCCGATAGACTGCAGCAAGGGCCTCCCTGTCCCTCACTGTCTCCAGGAGTTTGCCCAAGTTCATGGCCATTGAGTTGGTGATGTTATTCAAAGCTATCTGGCAAATAATTCAGTTAAGTAAAGGAAAAGACCGAACACAGAAATGCTGTTATGCTCATAAATTTTGGGCTCAGATCTGACTTGGTTCTCCAAAAATTGAACAATTTTTATTTTTTATAATTTTATTTACTTATTTACTTTTGGCTCTTCTGGGTCTTTGTTGCTGCGTCGGCTTTTTTTCCCCTCTAGTTGTGACGAGTAAGGGGCTACTCTGTAGTTGAGGCGCCAGGGCTTTTCTTGGTGGTGGCTTCTCTTGTTGCCGAGCATGGTCTCTAGGGAGCCAGGGCTTCAGTAGTTGGGGCTCATGGGCTAAACTGCCCCTTGGCATGTGGAGTCTTCACTGGCCATGGGGTCGAACCCATGTCTGCTGCTTTGGCAGGCAGATTCTTAACCACTGGACCATCAGGGAAGTCGTGATAAGTCATCTTTTAGAAACACTCGTTTGCTCCTGTCTCTTCCTTGCTTGCACTCTACACTGGCTTTCCCTTTGCTCTTAGGATGAAGTCTAAAATTCCTAATGTGCCCTTTGTGGGTGACAACTGCCCTCCTTTGTGGGTGGCTTCTGCTCTCCTGGGTTCAGCTGGAGCTACTCACACCCTCCATCCCAGGTTTTTTGTTCACAGTAACCTTCCGATTCCTTAGGCCACCCTGGGGCCTTTGCATAAGCACTTACTCCTACTTACAGTGACCTGGCTCATCTTGCCTTAAAGTTTCATCTCCAACCTCAAGGGACTATGACCTCAGGTGTGCCATTGTGTGCTCACTGGGTGCTTACCTAAGGCCACCCTCCTGCTCAGTGTGGCCCCCGGGGAGCAGGGGCACCTCTCTTCTGCCCAACATTGTAGCCCCAGTGCCTGGCACAGCCTGGCGCACTCTAGGGACACCACAATGCTTATTGTGAAAAATCTAGTTTTGGATGAAGAAGACGCACAGGAATCCTGATTCTCTCCCCTCCTTCACCGTGATCTAGCCCACTCGCTGTCACCTGCCAGATGCTTTGGGGGCTGAGAGCAGCTTCCCCCACTTTTACCCTCTGTAACAAAATGCCCTCAGAGCTGCTACCACAAAAAGCATTTTTGCAGGACTTCCCTGGTGGTCCAGTGGTTAAGAATCTGCCTGCCAATGCAGGGGATATGGGTTCGATCCCTGGCACGGGAAGATTCCCCATGGCTCCAGGCAACTAAGCCCTCAAGCCCCAACTTACTGACTCTGCGCTTTAAAGCCTGTGTTCTGCCAGAGAAACCACTACAATGAGAAGCCCCCACATTGAAACTAGAGAATAACCCCTGCTCATTGCAATGAAGATCCAGTGCAGCACACCCCCCGCCCCACCAAAAAAAAAGCATTTTTCAGTTGTGGATCCACTCCAGACCCCCCAAACATCCTCTAACTGTCTCTGACTGCCCCTCAGGAGGGACAGGAGGTCCACTAGGTCCTTCTGCTTATGTTGCATGGAGTGGTCCGAGTGTCACACAGCTAGTAGGCAAGGTGGCTGGTATGCTGTTGATTTTTCTTTTCAATCAGCACACCTCTTTTCTGACATACAACCTCACGTGCGGCCCAGACTATGAAAACCGAGCTTCTCTGCTGGACTTGGTGCTGAGCACCTGCTCACCTCCCTTTTCCCCCCACCCACCCCCAATCCCTCCCTGGAGGCCGAATTGGGGTGGGGACCACCTCTTTACCAACATGATCAGGGAACCTGGACCCTCTGACTGTCTTTCTATCACACCACATAAGCTGTCTGGGAACCAGGTGCAGGTATCCAAAGCTAAAGTCGGATCAAGAATTTTTGAAGGGAAAATAACTCCCAACACAAAAAAACCAAACTCTAGATCACTTTCTTTTTCTTTCTAGAATGCAACCAGGCAATGCATATAAAATTCTTTGGGTTCCTGATAAATCTGTGATAGAACAAAATCTCCCAAACCTATCCTAAGAACAGTCTTTAGGTACAGAAGGTGCTGGTTCCCACAAGATGCTTACCCCTGTCCCAATGATAAAAAGCAGGAACTGACAAGCCTTCTAGATGCTTGGCAGTAAGGGAAGATCAGATTATCTGCTTGTGCTCTCCGGGAAGGCACCCTTTAAGAGGGATGAGAAAGCACATTTGATACCGAAATAGGCCCATGATAGTGTAAAGTGAGAAATAAAGTGACAAAATGCAGCAGGCAGAAAGATGAAGACACGTATGTAGAAAAAAAAGAGTAGACACCAATATTTTAATTGTGATTATGGGTCATTTTCTTTTTTGCTCCCTTGTATTTGTAGATTTTCTACAATAAACTTATTTCCCTTTCACAAGGAGACAACAGAAGATGATATTAGTGAGGTGGTAATAGACACATCTAAATCCCTTTCAGAAACCAGGGGGGGTCTCCTTGTCCCAGCGCAGGGCCGGGTGGAAGCTCTGAGCAGGGGTGGGGGGGTGGGTATGACTTTCGAGAGAGCCTTGGGTTCTTCCTGGGGCTTCCCTGGTGACTCAGAGGTTAAAGCATCTGCCCCTAATGTGGGAGACCTGGGTTCAATCCCTGGGTCGGGAAGATCCCCTGAAGAAGGAAATGGCAACCCACTCCAGTATTCTTGCCTGGAGAATCCCATGGATGGAGGAGCATGGCAGGCTACAGTCTGCAGGGTCGCAAAGAGTCGGACACGACTGAGTGACTTCACTTTCACTTTTTCTTTGGGTTCTTCCTGGGCATGCACTCACAGGCTCCCTGGAGGAGAGGGCTGCTAAGAACTGGGCCCTTTGGCCTCCTGAGGTCACAGCCTCAGAGGACATCAAGATCAGTGAACTCAGACCTGTTTGTGGCTCTATCTTCAGGGCTTCCCAGATGGCGCTAGTGGTAAAGAACCCGCCTGCCAATGCAGGAGATCCTGTGGAGGAAGGCACGGCAACCCACTGCAGTATTCTTGCTTGGAGAATCCTGTGGACAGAGGAGCCTGGAGGGCTACATACAGTCCTCAGGGTGGCAGAGTCAGGCATGACTGAAGTGACACTGCACACAGGTGCACACACTTGGGGCAGCTTGACCCTGCCGCCACACATGGTCGGCTGTGATCTGTGCGTGGTCAGGGAGCGGCCCTGCGCCATCCCTTCCCATCTGCCCTCAGGGCTGGTCAGACAGCCTGCCCCGTCATCCTCAGGGAGACAAGGACCCACTGACCACTCTCCTGACAGGTGCTGGGCCTGAGTGAGTCCTTTGACATAGTGTGGTGCTTCAGTCACCCCCAGATCAGCCCTGGATGGTGGGCCTGCTTCATAGAATCAAACTGAAGCCAACAGAAATGTAGACTCTGGTCACTGGGCAGCCTGGGGGTGCCAGAACCTGTGCTGGGACACTCAGGAGGCCAGCCCCTGGGGTTCCCACCCAGGCTCCCAGCTCACTGGGGTATCTCCCAGGGCTACGTCAGTGTCCACCGGGGCTGGCATGTGGGCTGGGGGTCCACTGGTGCACCTGGGGAGGCTGGTGCCAAGTCCACTTGCTGGGAGGATGGCTGGGCCATTCCAAGTGGGCTTGGGGGAAAACAAGGTCTCAGCCGTGTGGGTGATCCAGGGCCAGGTCAGGGGCCGCTGGCTGGGAGTGGTGAAGAGCCAGCTGAGCCCCTGCTCTCGCTGCTTACCCAGGACCTCCTATCTCTGTTCCAGTTCACCTTCCTGCTGCGTAGCTGATTGTTGTTCAGTCGCTCAGTTGTGTCCGACACTCTGTGACCCCATGGACTGCAGCATGCCACACTTCCCCATCCTTTACCATCTCTCAGAGTTTGCTCAAACTCATGTCCATTGTCCATCCAGCCATCTCATCCTCTGTCTACTCCTTCTCCCCCAGACATCTGCCCTCAATCTTTTCCAGCATCAGGGTTTTTTCCAGAGTCAGCTCTTCGAATCAGATTGCCAAAGTATTGGAGCTTTAGCTTCAGTCCTTCCAATGAATGTTCAGGGCTGATTTCCTTTAGGATTGACTGGTTTGATCTTCTTGCAGTCCAAGGGAGTCTCAAGAGTCTTCTCTTTCAAACCACAGTTCAAAAGCATTAATTCTTTGGTGCTCAGCCTTATTTATGGTCCAACTCTCACATCCATACATGACTACTGGAAAGACCACAGCTTTGACTAGATGGACCTTTGTTGGTAAAGTATGTCTCTGCTGATGTCCTGTTCAAATCCCTCAGCCCTTCTGGAAACACAGCCACTGGTACCCACCACTCAACACCAGGAGCCCTGGGCCGCTCAACCTGGGCTCTGATCAAGAGTGAATGTGCCTCCACCCACACTCCCCCAATACATACACACAACCCTGTCTGGCGCCTGAGTAAAGCAAATGAAGACAAGACAGATTGAGGTGTAGTTCAAAGGTTGTTATCTTTTTTGGTTTCCTTTTCTGCTTTTGTAAAGAAAAATAAGGTTGCGTGTTTATCTGAAAGAAAACATAAGTCAGCCCCCTCCTGGCTCAGCCTCTGCCCTGCCCCTGGGGGGCACTGGGATCACAGGCCCTGGGCAGGAGGGGCCGGGCTGGCCGGGGTGACAGAAGGGGGCTGGGCACTCAGTTGGGGCTTCCTCAGAGCCAAAGAAAAAGGGCATTCGGGAATGGAGTTTGGCTTGGTTAGGCAAAAAGTAAAATTAAAAAACTCGACACACATGCCCACTGTACAGATGGGGGCCAAGAGGCATCACCTCCGAGTTGGAACCATCTCTGGCAGTTGGAGTCAGGGACCTGGCGGGGCCCCTGGCCCCCCAATTCCCCATGTTCTGGGGGTGGGGGGCAGGGCAGGAAACAGTAGCTCTCAGGAGTGGGGGAAGTAAGAGCAATCTCCTTCCCCACATGGTAAAAAAAAAAAAAAAAAAATTACTAAAAAAGCACCCGAAGCTTAAAAAAACTAAACCTCCCTGGCAGGGAGAATTGGGGGCATCCTGCTTAGGAGCAGAATGCCTGACCTGGCAAAAATGTGTAGAAAAATAAAATTAAACTTTATCCCTGAATGACAGAGTGAAGACCCTTCCCCTGCCCTCACGACCTTCCCCCAAGGAGACTTAAGAGTTCACCAAGTGGCACAAATGTGCAGTGACACGTGGGAGTGTGCATGCATGCACGCTGCCCCACACCTGCACCCAGAGCCTGGGGCAGCGGCGTGGGGATCCTGACTCCCACAGGCAGTCTTCTCACCCCTCACGACCCCGTGAGGGTCCCTGTGCCTGACTTTCGGGGGCAGGATGGGACTCCAGCCCAGGGGCGGGGGGCTGCGTGGGGGACAAACCCGCAATATCAGTTGGAAGGGCAGGGGCAGGACTGAGGGGCGTTCGGGGTAGGAAGCAGGCCGGCCACGGTGGCCTGGAGACAGAGGTCACACTGAGCCCACTGCAACCGCAGGACGCCTAGAGGAGCCGAACTCACGGCAGGATGGGGGCAGGGCTCCGGGGTCCTCAGAGACCTGCGGTCAGAGGGGCTCAGCAAAGCCCCCGAGCCGTGCATAAGGGAGGGGCCTGGAGACGGGGTGGCCCTGGGTAGTGTTCTCAGGGTGGCCAGGCTGTTGCCTGGGAAGATCACCAGAGGTAATAAAATGGGGGTGCAGCAGGGAGAAGGGAGCTTGTGGGGGTGATTACACTAGTCCAGCTGGGCCCCGGAGACCCAGGAACTCTGAGGAGGCCTGGGCAGGAAACTTACTACCCACCTGGGAGAGCCAGAGGGTAGGCCTAACCCACAGCATGGTGCAGGACAAGGACGGATGGCGCCGGTTCTCATGGGGGTGTCCAGGGGGTCTTTACCTTCCACTTGACCGGGTCAGGGGGTACATTACAAAGAGGTGATCACAGCCCGGGGACACGAGGTCGGGGGGCAGCCCAGCTCCTGCTCCCCTCACAGTAGTAGTGGCATTCCTGCCAGGCAGGGCTGGGCGCTAGGGAGGGGACCCCAGAGTCACGCAGCCCCTCCACGATCTCTGGCTTGGTGATCAGAGTGTCAGCACCAAACGCACATCTGATGCCAGCCGAGGAGGGCGGGGAGGACTGCGCCCCGAGACCACGCCCAGCCGTGCAGTCTGTTAGGTGTGAAGAAGGCGTCAGGAACAGGACTCCCTCCGGAGGCGACATCAAGGGCCCTGGAGAAGAGGGCAGAGGCGGCGGGCCCTCTGGGGGGCCAAGGCCGGCAGTGGTGGAAGCGGCATGCACCTGGGCGCACCCTCTGAGACCCTCCGGGTGCCAGGAGGCTGCGGACTGCGGGTCAGCGCAGGCTCTGGTACAGGTAGGCCGAGGTGAAGAGGGCGTTGGCGGTCAAGCTCATGGCCAGGAGGCCCCGGATCACGGAGGGGCCAAAACGACCTTCCAAGAGAAAAATCGAAGAGACCAGTGAGCTGAGAGCTGTGGGGTTGAGGCCCCGCCACCAGGGGGGTGGGCTCCCCTGGGCTGAGGCCCCGCCCCCGAGAAACCATCCTATCTGAAAAGACCCCAGGAACCTGCTGTCATTCGAAGTCCTGACCTTTTTTTTTTTTCACCCTGCAGCTTGTGGGATCTTCCCTGACCGGGAACCTGGCCCTCGGTAGTGAGAGCGCAGAGTCCTAACCACTGGACTGCCAGGGAATTCCCAAGTCCTGACTCCTTGAAGGTGCTTCCCTTCTTGCCCCTGGCCCACCAGGCAGGTACCCGGCTAGGGCAGTGCCACCTGTACCTTGCCACAGGGACATCAGCTTTACAGCCAAGACAGGAGGACGCCCCTGTCTGGGCCTCAAGGAAATAAGCGGCCGACTGGGCCCCCCCACCCCAAGTTGACGCTGCTGGGTCATGTCCCACACCCCACCTGATCTGGGGGTGGCCCCCATTACCAGTCAGCCCAAAATGATTGTTTCAGGAAAATCCTTGCTCAATACACACGGCTTCCACATGCCCCGGGGGAGTGTCAGGACCTGACTGCTGGGCTTTACCCAGAACCCCGATTCAGTCTCGCAGTCCACCCCCAAGCTGAGAAGTCCAGCCCGAAAGCTGAGAAGCCTGGCTTTGAACCCAGGCAAACTGCTGCCCAGTGCGGCCTGCAGCCTCTGCACTGGCCGCCTATGCCCAGGCCAACAGCCTCCTGGGGAAGTTTATGGAACGGTGACAGTGTTCTGTACCTGCTGTCCACCTGAGCAGCTGCGGGCCACACGTGGCCTTGGGACACCTGCTATGTGGCTGGTACAGCTGGGCAGCCAGATTCTTATTCTGATTACACCGTAACTGTTAGACTTAAGCAGCCACCTGAGGCCAGAGGCCCCTGTGACAGCACAGGTGCAGACCCCTCGTAACCCGGGCGTGGGATGCTGTCTGCTGAGCCACAGGGGCCCCAGCAGGTGCGGGGGGCATCAAACCACCCTCTGCCACCCGAGGCCCCATGAGGGGCTGTTCTGACAGACAGGAGGGGACAGTGGCTGCAGACCCACGGCCCTGCCCTCTTCCTGCACATGACACGGGGCACAGACCTCGCCAGCTGGTGGGCTCCTCGGCACACCCTCGGGTGGTGGTGTCCACCACACAGGAGGACTGGGATGAGTCATCCTCTTTCTTGATGGAGCGGCTGCTACAGCTGCTGCCCCCTTCTGGCACTGACTTCGTGTCTGCAGGGAGAAGGGGCGTTTCAGTGGGAGCTCGGGGTGCACCCCAGGGACAGACGTGGGCAGCTCCACCTCCAAGCCCAGGATGGTCCATGAATGCGGCCGCTGACCATCCAGCCTTGCTGGTCCCAACTCGCTTGGCCTGCCCTGGACAGTGGGTGGCCAGCTCCTCACTCGGGTCCTGTCTGCATAGCTGCCCGGAAGGGAGCTGGCTTTGGGTCAGGAGCCGCAAACTCAAACGCCACTAGGTGTGGAAGACGATGCCACAAGCAGGGCTGCGGAGGGGCAGAGGCTGGGGCGAGGGACCTCAGCCTGCCCTTCTACCTGTCCGACCCAGTATGGCCAGATCTTCTGATGTCATGAGAAACACAGGAAGTCCACAGATTCATGGGAAACGTCTAGATGTTAAATGTTGAGGCCTAAGTTAAAACTTTCTAGAATGCTTTGTAGAAAAACAGCATTTGAAAAAATAAAAAACATCTGCAGCCCGATGCACGGAACAGAGGATCCTCCAAGTCAATTGCAAAAGAAGGAAATAAAAGCAGCCAACTAGGGGCAAGGTCCTGAAGGGTTCAAGGTCACCAGAAGCCAGGCTGGGGGGTGTCTGGACTTGGGAGAGCGGCCACAGTCAGGTAAGAGCCAGCACAGGCCCCGAGCGGCCTCCTGATGGCGTCCCCACCGCTGCACGCTGACTGGAGGCCTCCCACGGCCGCGGGCTCTCCCACCTCCGGGGCAGATCAGAGGGCCGTACCCGCCGTGTGCTTCATGTCCCGCGCCGGCTGCCTCTGTGGGGCCGGGGGCGACTCGACGGTGTAGAGGCTGCCGTTGTGGGGCGAGTGTTCGTCGGAGCTGCTGGGGGTGTGGGGGGCGTCTCCAGGGGGTGACGGGAACAGCAGCAGCTTCTGCCCCTTCAGGTTGAGCCGGGCCGGGCTGATGAGGGGCCGGCGGTGGCGCAGGGAGCCGGCGCTGGAGGCCACCGAGCCGGCCACGGAGGGCGCCGGGGAAGGGACCGGGGAGGAGGGGCAGCTGCCTGACAGCAGAGAGAAATAATCTGGAGGCGGGAGGAAGGCAGAGACGACAACATCGTGAGTGCTCGCTCCGCTTACAGGAGCACCTATTCTGATCTGTTGCTTTCTCGTCTACTGACCGAGGGAGAAAGGCAAGGATGGGCCTAGCCTACTGGGCACAGTGGGCCCTGCTGTGAACTCTGGGAGGAGGCACCCAGGGAGGGGAAGAGGATCGCGGAGCCTCAGCAATGCCCCCTCTGCTCCTCTCCAATTTCTGTCCTCAGCTGAGAACAAGGCCTGGGGAGAAAGAAATCCTGGAGACCTGGGGTCAGTTAACCTGGGCCCTGCTCATTTCCAAGTGCCACCTCCATCTGTCACCACTGTAAGGACGATGGCACCATAGCTAGTCCTAGAAACTCTGGTGCCCATTTCACATAAGAGAAAAATGAGGCACAGGGGTGTCAGGCACTTGCCCAGGGCTGCACAGCAGGGAGCAGCCGGGGGCTGGGATTTGAACAGAATCCCCTCCAGGGGCCTGTCTGCCGTCCCACCCTGCACACGCTCTGGAAACCCCGGCTCACATGCTGCCTGCCTGAGCTGGCTTCCCATCACTCCCCTTGGCGCCTGGTCCCTCTTACCTGAAACTGAGACCTCCCCGGGTCGGGACACCTGAGATGGAGGGCGGCTCCCGCTAAACAGGTACCCTGAGTCTGGAGACAGAAAGGCAACATAGGTCCCTGGGGAGACGGCCTGTCTCCAACCCCTCCCCAAGGCATGGCTGCTCTGCGTCACCCGCTTAGCAGATAAGGAAACTGGAACCCATGCAGGCCACACGGGAGGCCAGGCCTGGGGCCCACCCTGTGCCCTTCTTTTCTCCAGCCATCTTGAGTCCCGCCTCCTCTGCTAACCTGTTGGCAGGTGCAGGGGAGGAGCCTTCCTGCCGGGCGTGCAGGGAGCTGGGGCGAGGCCTGCAGCAGGAGCTGCAGAGGTAGGTAGAGCTCGGGAAGACGGATCCTGGACCGCCAGGGCCTCCTGACACCTGAGCCAAGGGCCGGCCCCAGGGATGGCGACTGGGTCCCAGCCCTCACATGTCATTCTGAGACCAACCTGTGTCCCATAGAACCGCCCTGGGCCCTTGGGGCAGAGGGTCTCCTGAGCCCTCACCTCAGGCCTACCAGGGCAACAAGGAGACTGCCTGTGGACCCAGCAGGCCGGGGCCATACCCATACTGTCCGGTAGAGGCTCTGGAGCTTGGGTCCCTGCCCTGACCCTGGAGGCTCTGCAGAAAACAACCTTCTGTGGATGGGCCCAGCTACTGGGTCCCCAGGTTCCTGAGTCCAGGGCCTTCTTGTCCACTTCGCTCCTCTCTGCCCCAGCTCCAGGGGCTGTTCAGAGAGGGCCCCCAAGGCCACGTCCATCAGCCCTGCGTCTGAGCAGGGCCTGAGCTGTGACTCACCTGCTCAGGGGACTCTGCTGAATAACCATTACCAGACAAGGCCCTTCTCCCAGCAACATGGCTCATGTCAGGTGACACGGAAATGCCTGGAGTCCAGATCCCGGTGCTACTCAGGGCTCAGTCTGACCCCCGTCAATCCCACCCTGCAGGCCTCAAACACTACCCACTGCTCGGCTCACGTTGTGTCCAGCGAGCCGTCCCTCCTGCAGTGTGACCCACCCACTACCTAGGAGGATGCAGGACTGCACACAGGGCAAGAAGACGCCTGGGCTCAAACCCCAGGTCTTGGCGGCCGCAGCTGCTGGGCAAGTTATGGGGAGAACAGGCCCAGGGGAGGTCGGACTGGGTGGGGGGAGCCCCCACATGGGGGAACTGTTGAGGGGCTTCAGAGAGACACTGCATGTCAGAAGGCCCAGCTTAACCAAGATGCTGACACGTTCCTGGAGACTGGATCCTGCGGCACCGCCCTGCCCCCCAGGTCATCCCCCAGAGGATAAAGCAAACCCTGTGGGCACCAGGCAGCCTCCCCTAGTGAGAAGGGTCATTGAAGAAGACGCGGCACGGCTCCTGGAAAGATCCTGCTGGGGAAGGGGAGGGATGAGACGAAACTTCCCGTGTCGGGGACCAGATGCTGGTCCCACCAGGGCTCCATGAACACGACAGGCTTGAACCAAAGCCCTGGGCCATGCACCACAAAGGCTGGGGGCAAATTTTCCAGCCCCCATGGTCTCAGGGGCTTCCCAGGTGGCTCAGTGGTAAAGAATTTGCCTGAAAATTGCAGAAGACATAGGAGATCCTGGGTTCTATTCCTGGATGGGGAAGATCCCCAGGAGGAGAAAGTGGCTACCCAGTACAGTATTCCTGCCTGAAAAATTCCATGGACTGAGGGGTCTGGTGGGTTACAGTCTACGGGGTCACAAAAGAATCAGACATGACAGCACTCACACACACACATACACACACAGGATCACAAACAGCAGTAATAACAGTAACTGTGACACCTAAGGCTTTAAATCCATCACCTGGTTCAACCCTCACACAGGGTGCGTTCACTTGTTTTTTGTGGGAAACTGAGGCTCGGAATGGTTAAGCCCCTCGGCTCAGGCAGTCGCTGAGTGCACACACCAGGGTTTGAACCCAGTTCCGCCAACTCTACAGCAGGACCACCACGCCCACCTCGAGCTCAGCGTGGTGCCCTGAGCCCCGCACGTCCGCCAGTGCCTTTTAGTGCCACTTACCTGCTCGTGTCAGAGAGGGGATGGTTCCCAGCGAGAGGGCCCGGCTGAGACGGCCGGGTAGCGAGGAGGGCGAGGCCCGGCGTGGGGACCGGAACAGCTGCTGGTTGGCGATGGGCAGGAAGCCGGGCGGGGCGGGGACGAACAAAGATGGCGAGGGGCCCGTGATGCTCAGGCTTGGGCAGGGGACGGCCAGGCTGGGGCCGGTGGGGAAGAGGCCGGCGGAGTCTCCTGGGAAGCACCTATGAGAGAGCCCGGGGGTGGGGGGGCGGGCGTGGGAGAGAGGAGCAGGTCAGCCCCAGGGGGCTCTGAAGCATGGCCTCTACCTCGGTGGGCCCCCTCCCCTCCCCCACGGTGCAAGATGGGGCCCGAGTCAGGGTCCCAGAGGAGGCGTGTGTTAGTTGCAGCAGAAAAGCGGTCCAACCACATTCACGCCATTAGGAGCGGGTGGCTGGGAGGTGCTGGCGTGACCCACCCCTCCCTGCATGCCCCCTCCGATCCCCCTCAGCCTCACAGCAAACTAGGTCTACTACGAGTCTCGGTATTAAAGTGACACTGTCGCCCTCGCCAACCTCACGCCAACCCTTCACCTCGAAGCAGAAACGCCCAGTCCTCTACGGGCGCTCAACTTGGTGCCCAGAGCCTCCTCGCAGTGGCCGAGCTCAGGGAGCCCCTGCTCCCCCGGCCTGACCCCGGGAGTCCCCCTGCTGCTGCTCTCTAGTCTCAGACACTGGACACTCTGCTAAAGCCCCTGGCAGAGCAGGTGGGGAGGCAGCCAGGCTTGGGGATCTCCAGGAAGAGGCTCTGGCAGCACGCCAGCCAGACTCCAAGCCGTGAGCAATCGCGAGGCTGTCCGCAGATGGAAGGTGACAGTGTCTCTTTAACTTGAGCGCGGTACAGATCACACCACAGGACCCAGTGGCCCCAAGCCAGAATGTCAACCATGCTTCTGATTAAGGCAACTGATTACAGAGGGGGGAGGGGGCAGAGGCAGTTAATAAGGGATTAGTCCGCCGTCTGGACGGAGCTGCAGAGGTCCAGCCTTACCTCGGTCCCAAGGGACAACTGAGCCCATGGACAATGTGCTGACGGACGGGCAGGTTGGCTCAGGCCCTGCAGCAGAGCCGGGGGCTGGCTAAGGCGCCCACCCCAGCTGCACCCGGGGTCCCGCTGGCCAAGCTTCAGTCTACTCATCTCCCTGGTTTTCACCCCTTCCCCTCACATAAAATAACTTCTATGAAGGCGGGTCAGCTGATGCCTGCCTGGAGAATCACGTGACCTTTTTATTGCCTTTCTAAGGGCCAGGAGGCCACCTGGACTTTGGAACCAAAGGTGGGCCCAGTGTTTGGGGGACATGGGGAAATCAATGCTATGGGACCTATCAAGCAAATCTATAGAGGACTCTGGGCACCTGGCTGGACATGCCTACATTCCACCCAAGGACCCATTCTGCCTAGGGTGACCCCTACCTCCTTTCCCCCAAAACGCCTGGGGAAGGTTCTGACTTTAAACACAAGACACAGGTTGATGCTGTCATTTTAGAATTGTGATACCATGCAGCAGGACAGCGACGACCTTGGGGAGTGGCCGGAGGTGGGGGCAGTGTGGGTGCGCTGGGACCCTTAGCTAACTTGCTCCAGTCACACACGAAGCCCTGTTCCCTGCACCTACCCCAGGACCCCTGGTTGTTGTGTGCCGCAGCAGCCTGAGGGCAGGGTGTGTGGGCCACAGTAGGGAGTTGGGGGCGGGAAGAGGGGGACGATGATGTGCACACACACACACATATACACGCACACGCACACACACACCTGGGCCTTTCCAGGGGTGGCAGCATGTCTGCCTGTACTGGGCTTCCTGTGCTACCCCACTGGGCAACCCATGGGCTGGGCCAGGCCAGGAGCTAGCCAAAGTACAGCCCAAGTAATTGGCAAGCTCAAGCCCAGTCGGGCTGTGGGTCTTAAGAGGTGGCCAGCTGGGTCTGGCCAGCGTCTTCCTCCCGGATCCTGATCACACCCGGGGCTGCCCAGCTGGCACGAGTGCTTTCCCAATCTCTGATGCAAGTAATCAAGGTGGCACTGGAGGGTTGCGGGGGGGAGGAGGGGGCAGTTCTTCAGTCTGACCCTCTTGTTGGGACACATGGTGGCATCACTCAACTAGCAGATCGTGTGAAGTGTCAGGCATGAGCCTTTGTCCTGGCTCCACAGAAGATAGTCCCGGGAGCCTCTGTCAAAGGAGCCCCACCTCCGCCAGGCTCCCGAGCGCTGCACACAGACTGACGCTTCCTCTTAACCATCCCCCCCACCCCACAGACCACCTGCACCCTCAAACCCCATCTCAGAGAGGCACCTGGCCCCAGAACCCAAGCCTGTGGGTCCGCTGTGATGGAGGGGCTCTGGGGAAGGGGTGGGCGGCTGGCTGCACAGCACCCCGTCTGACACTGAGGGGGGTCTTTTGTTCTCCAACCCCATCCCGGCCCAGGCCGGGAGCGGGAGGACAGAGAGGACGACATTTAAGGAGCAGCTTATGGAGACAAGGAAATAAACACGCCATCCGAGGATGGTGGGCCCTGAGCTGCTCAGTGCCCATGTCACCAGCTCCCAAGCTTGACTCTGGTGGGCGCTCCCGTCCCTTGAAGCCCCCGCCCCTGGCAAAGAAGCCTCTGAAGGAATGAGAAAGAAAAAACAGAATAGACGTGGTGCCTGACGCCCACCGGTCAGAGCAGGGCCCCGGAGGCATTTATTGAAAATACAGCATCAAAACACTACAGCTAAGGCCGGGAATTGTGGTTACAGCAATTACAGGGTCACTAGACAGTCATCCACGTCTACACGACAGAAAGGACGGGACACTCGGCGACAGTCGCAGGCAGAGGGGATACCGGCCTCTCCCAGGGGCTCCTGGGCAAGCATTACTGGGGAGCCTACTTGGCCTGGGGTTGGGGGAGAAGATGGTTCCACGCCCTGACCCCCCATTCTGGAGGGTCTGGTCGTGGTCCCCAGTGGAGCGGAGAGTGGGCCAACACACTCCCAGGGAATACGCCACGGTCCCCGTGATGCCCGCACTTCCTCAGCTGTCGCCAGTAGTGTCGGAAGGTACTGAAACACGCTCCACGTAATGGAGTTTGAAGGGACAGATGCATGGCCTTAAAACCATACAAACTCTAAAGTGCCAGGAAGCCTTCCTCCGATGAGGTCCGTCTTGTGACACGAGGGTGTCTTTCCGCCCCCGCCCGCTAGAGGGCAGGAGAGACGTCTGCCAGCAGGCTCCTGGCCAGCGTGAGAGCTGGTTACGGTTATTATAAATAATTTAACTTAAATTCACGCGTACACACAGATGTCCTGCTTCCACTCAAAGCCAAGAAAAGTGGTAATTAGCACCGTGCCGCCAGTTTCCTTGAGAACAGGGGATTCCAGAGACCAGGGGACACACAGCCAACAGACATGGGTTCCCCGCCTGGCTCCCACCGCCCCGCTCGGGGAGGCTGGTTCACAGAAGCGAGGGACAGGCCGGCCACCCCACTCCTCCACCTCGTCAGTGCTCTTCCACCTCACCCTCCACCCAGAGCAAGCTGGGCCCAGCTCCTGACTCACCCAGCTCTCTGCACATGTATCAGGGTGCAGCGCCACCCGACACACAGGCGGGTGGGTGGGGTGGCTTCTCAGGACCCAGAGAATGGAAGGATGGTGGGGCTCGGGCCTGAGCTGGGCACTCTTCACCCACCCCGTAGGCTCAGCGAGGTGACGGCCTTTTCCTGAGCGTCACCCTCACACACGTGACTGGCCTGTGCAGTTCCCCGGGTCCATACCTGGAGCGGGGTTCGAGCTCACCCTGATGAGAGTAGGACGGAGGCCCTACAGGGGTGAGCAGCCTTGCTCTGCCTCCTGCCACAGCCCTGGGAGGCAGCCCCCAGGCTGAGAACGGCCTCCAGAGCATGCCCACACCCACGCCAGCACCCCAGGGCCCTGGAGGGGTCCGGCTCTCATTGTACAGATGGCGCACAGGTGCGGGTGGCGGGGCCTGGCCCAGGGAGAGTGAGGCCGAGGCCCTGTGGACTCTGCAGCTGCCCCATGGGGAGGCAGGAACCAAGAGCCTCCCCAAGGGGCTCCAGAGGTCAGGAGGAGTGTGGTGACAAGCCAAAGAGGGACAAGGGACAAGGACCTGGTGTAATGGGCCTGCGTGTCCCTTAGGCCCCTTACCTGGCACTAACTTCGGGCAGTTGGAACTTTTTCTGGGCATCATAATGGAGGCGGGGTTTTGGGAGGACACGGGACATCCTGGCATGGAGGGAGGGGGGCAGCGCCCCACTACCTGCCAATCAGAGCCACCTAGGTCTGGGAAGCCTGAACCCCAGCCCTGCAGGGAGCGAGGAGAGGGCTGGGCTGTAAGGGTTGGGGTCCCGCCTTTCCAGGGCAGAGCCAGGGGCTTCCCAGGAGAGTGGGCAGAGTGTGTGTGCCCCAGTTACGCTGTCTGGCTCACAGCGGTGCCCAAAAGATAGGGAAGTAAAGAGCATATAGACCCCTCCCCCCACCCTCCTGGGCGATCTCCCACCATCGCCTGGCTACTAGGAGAAATCTGCTGACCACGGGCACAGCATGATTTTCTACCCTCCACCTTCATGTGGGCCTCACCCCACAAACTCATGGTCAAGGCCAGTCTGGGTCTAAAAACTGCATTCTCCACCCCTGGGGAAGGAGGCTGAGGGATAACGGGCTCTCCGAGCAGGGAACCCAGGGGGTCAGCCCTGCCTCCTCCTGGTTTCATGAGCTCCTGGGGGCTGACTGGACCACAGGTAGGACCAAAAGGACAGACCCGAGAAACGAGGGTGGGACGAGGTAGGGGGCCCTCCGTGGCCCTGAATCAGCAGCACCTGCCCACACCAAGCAGCCCGAGTGGTCAGGCCATGCGGCGAGGGCCCAGCCTGCAGCCACCATCGCCAGCCCGTTAGGGGCTCAGAGACGGGCAAGGTGAGAGAAGAAGCAAAGAGCAGGCCCATACCCCTCTTCCGATGGTGTCAGAGCCAGGGAAGGGGCCGTGGCCAGTGTGGGGGTGCCTGAGCTGCCAGCGGAAGCCACGGGGCAGAGGCAGGCAGTACAGGTACTGCCCTGCTCCGGTCTCAGAGCAGTGGTGGTGGGGTCTTTGGCCAGAAAGGTGGCGGCAGTGGTGACCAGCTAGAGCGCACTTGGGGGCGCTGGGTCGGGGGTGGCTTGGTGGAGCCAGAAAGGAATGGGGGGGGCATGACTCCTAGGGTCGGTGGAGGGGCTAGGCCAGGACACTAAGGTGGGGGGTGGGGTGGGAGTGAGGCAGGTAAGAAAGAAGCAAAGACAGAGGTGCCCTGTCCGGGCTACGGGCAAAGCCCGGGGCCTGCGGGTCCATCTGTCCTCCCCCCGCAGTCACTGCTGCGTCTCTGACCTTCGGGGCCGGAACCTCCGCGGGCCCGTCGCCTTCCTTGTGGCCACGGCTGCCGTGAAGCCCACCAGGCAGCACAGGGACGTGGTGCTGAGCTTGAGCGTGTCCAGCCAGCGGGGCGAGGCAGCCTGCAGGTGTTGCTCGGCCAGGTGCAGCCCCAGCAGCAGGGCCCACAGGCCGCTGGAGAAGGCATCGATCCTCCGGAGCCTGTGGGGAGAGGGGGAGTGAGGTCCCAGCGAGGGGGTGAACCCCCTCCCGCTCCCCTGGGCTTCCTGCCTCCTCCATTCACCCCGGTCCTGCTCAGAGGAGAGGATCAAGGGCCCGGGCCAAGCGCGGGGCTCTGAAAGCCGCTTCCAACGCCTCCTCACCCTGTGGCTCTGAGTCAGTGTTCCTCTGAGCCTCGGTCTTCTAGTATGTATAATGGGGCAAGGAAACCTCCCTGAGAGCTGTGGGGAGAGGAGGGGACACCGTTTGGTATGGGGTCTGCACCTGCACAGGGAAGCACTAGATCCTGCGAGCTAGGTCACTGTCGCCCGACTGAGGTGAGGAGCCTGGGGTGGGGAGAGGACACAGTGCGGCCCCCAGGGCCCCTGACTCCGCTGAGCTTCCCCCCACTGCGTCCTGCCCCTCACGCACCGTATGCGGCCGGCCAGCAGCATGGCCAGCAGGCAGGTGAGCAGGCCCAGTGCCACGACGCCCATCTGGTGGCTCTGCCCGAAGGCCCAGGCCTCGCGCAGCTTCTCGGCCGCGTGCTCGGGCAGCAGCCCCAGCAGCTGCCGCCAGCCCTCGGCCCCAGTGGCTGTTCCGTTGTCTGGTGGGGCCGAGCCATTGCTACCAGGTGGCATGGCAGGGGGAAGCGGGGCTCCCGGGACAAAGGGGTTGCTGGTGCCGTAGAGCGCGGTGGTGAGCAGGAAGGCACAGGCCAGGAAGGCGAGGGCCCGGAGCACGATGACCTGCGCTGGGGACTTCACCGCAGATGTGCAGAAGCTCTGAGGGAGGGAGAGGCAGGTCAGCGAGAGGGCCAGAGCCACCGACAGCCCTCCGGGTGCCCACTCTGTGCATGGGGGTCTGGCCAGGGGCCCCCAGCTCTCACAGAAGAACCACCAGCTCCCAGTGATCAGAGATGCCCTAAATTCTCACGCACTCCTGGCTTCATTTCTGGTTCACCCCTGGGTCCCATTAACCTGTCTCGTTTCTGGGCCTTCACTCCATTGCGAGCTACTGTGCTGCCACGTTCTCTACATTAATCCTTCTGATCTGATGGTGACCTCTTCTTTCAAACACACCTTCCAATCATTTTCAAGTTATTGTAATAAATTCCTACTGTATGATTTTAACTAGAATTGTAATGAATATACACACAACTCTGGTCAAAGTTATAAAATACCTGTTATTAACTTTCTTAACTTAGGCCCATTGCTGTCCCTCTGAAACTATCACAATGTTGTAATCAGCTATACTCCAACATAAAACAGAAAGTTAAAAAAATGAAAAAATAGTAAGTTGTTCAGTATGAAAGACAGCAGAAAGAAGGAAAGCAAGGGTCAGCGCCAGCTAGGCACCTCTGGGGACTGGGGGTGGGGGGAGGATTTCTTTGGGGAGGATGGTTTTTACTAACCACCTGCTCCTATATCACATTTTTTAATGCCAGGACACACCAGCATCTGAGCACAGTGACAAAAACTAATGATGGTTTTAGCCAGCAGGTCCAAGGTTCAAACCCCAGGGAAGCCGCACGCTAGGCCCTCTGCAACAACTCAACCTCCCTGAGCCTGGTTTCCAGGGTACCTCGGAGAGCACCCACTATGAAGGCGCTGGAGGAATCCCCAGAGGTGCTGGGAGGTGCCCAGGCTCTGGAGGGCAGCCCAGAAACCCTGGCCACACACACAAATGACACACGTTCTCCTTGGGACCCCCCCACCCCGCTCCACTCCAGGCTAGGGCACAGGTCGGCAGGTGGCCCCACAGGAAGGTGGCTGCCCCAGGGGAAGGGCCTGGCTCTGAAGAGTTGCTCCCGGTCACTGGCCCCTGGGAAGGGGTCTCCCACACAGACTCGGGGGCTGGACGCCCCTCGCACCTGCGTGTAGGTCTGGTCGGCCTCCCGGCGCTTGAACTGGTGGCTGAGCAGCAGGGCGCGCAGCTGGCGGTTCTGGTGCTTGATGTAGTGCTCCACGGCTGCCTGGCACGGCCGGCACAGCTTGTACATCTGCTCCAGGTGGTGCCGGTACACCTCGACCTCCTCGTCGTACCTGCCCTGCAGAGAGGACACAGGCTCAGGGTCCCAGCAGTAACCATGTGCAAGTCATCCCTGTTCTGCACCTGCTTCCTCGGGGGCTCGACAGGACCAAAGGCCTGGGAAGAGGGGCTGCCCACAGCCTGGGGCACAGCAGGGCCCGCAGGGGATGTTCCAGCCAGTTCTGTGGCTGCCAGGGACACACCTTGAGGCCAGAGCCTGGCATGTGGCCCTTGCTCAGGCCCTGCTCCTGGACTCCGGACACCACCTGGAAGCGGGCCTGCCTCCCCACTGAAGCCCAGTGGTCCAGGAAACATGAAAAAGCCCCTGGCCAGGTCAGGGCCTCGGCAGGAACTGAAGGGCCTCTACACTTCAGGAACAGCACAGGAAATGCGAGGCCCACCCTTCCTTCCCCAAGAGATGCAGCACACCCCTGCCTGTTTGCAGGGGAGCCAGACATTTCAGTCTGAAGGGGCAGGAGCGCCCTGGTTTGGTCTCTTGCTAGGAACGAAGGTGCCAGAAACCTTCCCTGGCTGCCCCGTCACACGTGCCTGCCCGCCTCTTGGCAGTCTTCCCAGCTTTCCCTGCCCAGCCCCAGCTCACCTCTATTTTCCTCCCTCCCCACCTCCCTCCCAGACTGGGCCTTGGGGAAAGTCAGGGTCTCTGAGCTTCAGCAAGCATTTTCTCTTGAGGTCACAGAACCCCCAGAGTGGGCGAGGAGAGATGGGCTAGACGACAGGGCTGCTGGCCCCCACAGCAGTGGATCCAGGAGGCAAAGGTCTGACATCCAGCCTCTGGGCAGCACCCGGCTCCCCTCACCCTCCATGAGCCAGGAGCCTCACCCACTCCAGAGCAAACTGCCTGCCAGGCAGTGGGCAAGACGGACTCAGAGGAACATGGACAGGATGGACCCAACAGAGCCCCGAGTTGGAGCCCAAGGACCCTGCCTCCCCTTGCCCAGGGACAAATCCCTCTGGGCTGGCAGGTGCTCCCAGGCCTGGAGCCCCCACAGCAGTGACCACGAGACAGGAAGTATGAGAAGTGCATAGCTGAAATGGATGAGATCACACACCCAGAATGTGGGCCAACACAGGGTTCTGGGTGAGGAGGGGGCGCCCCTCCAGAGGGCTCCCCTCAGCGACTCTATCGCCTCCAGCACCCCCAACCCCCCACTCACCTCGTCGCGCGGCGAGAAGGCGGCCAGCTGCTTGATCTTGGTGGTCTGGTGGTGGCTGCACCGCCGGCAGAGCAGCACCTGGCTGCTCACCCACTGCGGGGGCTGGGCGGGGGCACGCGGGCCCGGCGAGCCGCTCACCACGTGGTTGAGGTGCTCCAGGTACTGTGCGGGGATCGGCTTGTTGTAGTCACCATTCTGAGGGAGGAGGACCTGAGTCAGGGGGAGCCCTCCCCACGGGCAGGAGCCTCCTGCCCCCACTCAGGCTGGGTGCCGGACGGAGGCCCCACATGCAGACACTCCCCCAAGGTGGGTCGCTAACACTCCCTCTCTGCATGCAACAGAGAAGCTCTTCTTCTAAAGGAACTTCATGGGGAACCCCAACTCAGGCGAGACGAGAGTCCGAAAAGATCTGGGTCTGAACATAAACCCGCCCGTGTCAGTGCTGTGACTCTGCCCAAGTCACCCTGGCTCCCTGAGCCTGTGCGCTGGTCCTCAGAGGAGGCCCTGGATGGTGGCAGGGGTGGGCGGGGGGCACACCTCCTGGAAGCCGTTGTACTGCTCACAGTGGGGGCAGTCCCAGCAGTTACGGTTCCCGTAGGGCACCACTGTGTCCTGGTTGCAGAACCAGCAGTTGACGATGGTGTGTGTTGGCTTCATCCTGCGGACAAGGACAGAGTGGAGTCTGCGGGAGGGCGAGAGACCAGGAAGGGTGGGCGGCAAGCAGGGCGGGGACCCCGGGGCTGGAGGTGCAGGCAGGTGAAGGAAGGAGCAGGGGATGCCATGAACCCGTCCACAGGACCTAGGCTTCTCCTCAGCCAACCAGGCCAAGCCTCCTTGACCCTGGGGTCAGCTGGAGATGCACCAGGAACCCGGGGCCAGCCAGGCTATGGGCCGACAGGGACCTGGCTCCAGGACTGCCCTCCTTCCCTCCTTGCAAGGCCCACAGACCTGGGCCCATTCCCAGGCTGTGGAAACGGTGCTCCCTGGGGAATTTCCAGATGGAAGGGGCCTTGGTGCTCACAAAAGCCCCAGGAGAGCCAGGGCCATGGAGACCAAGGGTGGGGACTGCAGACAGCTGCTAAGCCCAGGGCCAGCCCTCACTGGCATGGGGACAGGACAGGCGGGTCACAGTGGCCCTCACTGGCCACACGCGTGGCGACAAGTGGGTATGCAGGATAATCCCGGCCCAGACACTGAGGGATCTGTGCTTGAGCCGACCTCCATCCACCTCCCTGGCTGTTCGGCGGGGGTGTGTCAGGGGGGTGGGGGTGGGGGAGGTAAGGACATGGCAACTGCCAGGCAAACCCCTCCAGTCCCAGAAATCTACAACAACAGGTGGCTGCAGCTGGAGCCTGGGGTCCTGGCCTTGCCACTCCTGTCCCCTTGCTTGCCCCCAGAGTCCACCTCCAGCTGTGGGGCTGCCGCCTGGGCCTCTGCTGGGGTGGGCAGTCATACCACACATGGACACCTCTTCTGTCGAGAGGATGGCACGGCCCCAAGCTTCTGGGAGTCAGAGTCCCGGCTCTACCAACCCTCCTCTCCCAGCCTCGGCATTCGCGTGTTACCAGGGCCCCAAAACACAAGACACGTAAAGGTGTTTTGTAACGCAGGGCGCTGGCTCTGTCACTCCCCTGACTCTGGGGTTGTCGGGAGGCCCGGCCCCCTGGGAAGAGAGCTCCTGCTTCTGACACTGAGCTGCCTCCTGGCCTTGCCTGTCCATGGACCCTAGGCAGGTCACAAGAGTTCTCCGAGCCTCAGTCTTATTACCTGTCATCTGCGGACAAGACAAGTGTGTGAAGTGCTTCCAGAGCCCGGCTAACTGCCCAATAAACAGCAGTTTACATGGGGAGGGCAGGGGAGGAGAGGAGCAAGTCCAGACAGAGGACATGGAACCAAACCCTGCAGGGAAGGGTCCCATGGTCTACAGCGGGCACCCTGGCTTGCCCCAGCATCATCGAGCTGGAGGGCAAGGCTCAGAAACAGCAGTGCTGGGCAGCCTGGCCCCATGGTCATGGTGTGGCCTTCAGGGAAAGTCATTTTTTTATCTGGCCGATGGGGATAGCAACAACCTCTGCTCCAAAAAGGGTGCTGAGGGATCAGGTCAGAGAACTGATGGAAGCGCTGGGTTGGGCAGGTGGTCAGCGGAGGCATTCTGACAGCCTCTCTGGCCTTCAGGCCAAGAGCAGTGGAAGGAGGCACCTAGTGGTGTGGGGACCCTCTCTGCCGGGAAGCCGCACTTGGGCGATTAAGCACTTGGCTTTCTCTCTGTTAATTTGTAACTGCTTTACAGGCTTCGCTGTAATAGTGTACCGCGGGGAGGCGTGTCCAAAGAGGCAATGTCCAAACACCTCTCTCCCCTGGTCCCCTGGGTCCTGCTGTCCTCACGATGGGCCCCTCTGCCCGCTCTAGCCCAGATGCCCACCATACCACACCTGCCACTGGAGAGAAGCCAGCGCAAGAGCCAGCAGCCCACGAATAAAGACAGCTAGGAAGCGAATAAAGACGACCAGTGGTGGGCACCAGGAACTGAGGCTTTGAGCTTGAGGGCCAGGCATGAAGCCCCTCCCGCCCAGGAAGTCATCGTTTTTACCCTCAGTCACCAGCTTCGTGGCTGGGGAAGTGAGCCCGGACTGGAAAGGGGTGGCCAGGAGGGGAGGGAGGATTAGCCCTGGGCCAGCCCAGGTGGCGCTGGTGGTAAAGAACCCGCCTGCCAACATAGGAGACGTAAGAGACGGGGTTCCATCCCTGGGTCGGGAAGATCCCCTGGAGGGAGGCATGGCAACCCACTCCAGTATTCTTGCCTGGAGAATCCCAAGGACAGAGGAGCCTGGTGGGCTACAGGCCCTAGGGTTGCAGCCCTAGGGTTGCAAAGAGTCAGACACGACTGAGGCGACTTAGCACGCACATGCTGAGCCAGCAGTTCTGGCTTGGTAATCCCTGCCCAGGGTTGTGGGGGTGAGGGTCTTCTCTCACAGACAGAGCAGCTGCCGGCCACCCTGGCCAGATGGGTTCCACCTGGTGGGGTGTCATCCCCCACGGCTCCTCTGGGGAGCGCCCTGAAAGCAAGCTCAGGCCTGTGAGTGGCAGACGGACCAGTGATACCAGGTGTGGATGTCAGCTCTCCAAGGACCAGTGATGCTGCTGCCTGCCTGGAGCTTCACATGCCAGACACGTGGGCACATGTGACTCACACTTGCGGGCTGCACTTGATGGCTGACCTTGCAGCTCATAGTCCCCACAGCGGCTGGGTGACCCTGGCCTGTGGGCCTGCACCCATCTCTACCGGGCTTGATGCAGGAGCCAGTTCAACTCCATCCTGCTCTTGCTCAGGCTAATGCCCCCACCCTGCGCCCCTCCTAATCCCTTGATCCACTTCTCCCCTGAGCCAACCCCGGCAAAGCTCTGGTCAAACCCCTTGTGGTGAACAAGATCAGAGGGGCCAAGAGAGAGTGACCCTGTGACACAGGCAGGAGCGACTTAGGCCAGGCCGCCTCCGGTAGAAGACCAGGCCCCAGAGGATGGGCGGTTGGCTTGGAGGCTCTGGAAGGTGCTCGCCCAGTTCCTGCTGCCTGCGTGCTGAGCTCCTGGGCTCTGCTGGGGTCAGGGGAGGCCTGAGGCAGCCAAGGGCAGGACAGGCCCCATGGAGGGAACCAGCGAGCAGCTGTGTGCTCTGGAACCATCCCTCCACAGCCCCAAACACACAACGGGAAAAAGATGAACACAGGCCCTAATGATGGTATCTCCTCGTGAGCCCCAAACGTGCATGCTTAGTCATAGAAAAGCTCGTGCCCTGACATTCCGCCACATCCTAACAGGTCAGGTGGGGGCAGGGGATCAGGTCCAGCCCACCACTCTGAGGGCTGCAGCTCCATGCTCCTTGGCCCTGGCCCCCACCAGAGGGTGGGCATCAGCTGTGAGCCCAGTGCCGTGTGACACGGAGGAGACACTGTGTGGGCTCAGAGTCTGGGGGAGGCCAATGTGTCAAGCAGTCTCCACCATACCAGGTTCTGCGAAGTCCCCCAAGGGGGAGCAGGCACACAGCCTGTGACCCGTGTGCTGGTCCAGCGGGTCTGGAAGATTGTCTCTGACAGTCAGGCTGGTTTCCTTAGGGCATAAGAGGTCAGCCTCCTGCAGGGCGCCAAAGAGGACAGCCTCCCAGGTGAGGGGTCCCTGCGGGACCCCACGCACTGCCCTGCTTGCTACCCTGTGCCCTGAGTATTATGCAATCCACCTGCGAGAATCCAAGGGCCTCCTGCAGGGCAGAGGCACCAGCACCAACGGGCCTCCGGGCCGCCCACTCCAGCCTCGAGGCAAAGCACACTTCAGTCCACAGCGGTCCAGCCAACACTATCAGAAGGCCTGGGTCTGCTCTTGGTGGATGGCACTGGCTCCTCAGCATTGCCTGGCTGGAGAGGCACAGGCTGGGCTGGCAAGGGGGCAGAGATGCACGAGGCTCCCCACTCCTGACCTGGACGCAAGGACAGAACGACGACTGCACACAGCAGCTGCTACAGATGCCACAGCAGAGGGCCAACGGGCAGAGCGTCAGCCGTCACGCTCAAGGACGGGCCTGCCGGCCAGCAGGGCCAACAGGCAGATGGCCTTCAAACAGCCGGGACTGCCAGGCAAGGGGGCGGGGACCACCCAGTGTGTGTGCAGGGAGCCAGAATGCATGGCTGCAGGAGAGCGTGGTGAGAGGTGTGCAGGAGCGTGGCCGAGGCTCCACTCCTTTAGCCAGGAGGCTGCTCCCTCTCGTCTCCAAGCACCAGACGGTGGACAATCCAATAACCATGTCTGGGGGCTCCAGCGGCCGTGAACAGGCTGTGCCGGCAGAAGACGGACACGATGCCCAGCAGCAGAGTCCAGGGGTGGGAGTCTGGGTGAAATAGGCACAGGAAGCCACCAAGACTGCCCGGGTCCAGGGCAAGCAAGCCCAGCGAAGTATAATCTGGGCTTCCACTTGGCCTCCTGGGTGCAGAGTGGCAGCCAAGGTGCTCAGTTAGGACCCAGGGCACAAGGCTTGCTTGGTTAGAAGCTGAAGGGTCGTGGTCAGGCAGGAAGCCCGATCTCCCCGGCCTCCATTTTCTCATCTGCTGAATGGGGCCACCAGCAGCACGCACTGCCCCCAGGTCACAGGCAGTCCAGTCAAGGGGACTCCATGGGCAGGAAGCCAGGCTGGCTCTGCCCGAGGCTCTGGGGACCAAAACCCTTCAGAGAAGCCGGCTCTTGCTCCTGCTCCAAGGCCAGTCCTCCGGCCCTGTCCCTCTCTGCTGAGCCTGCAAACACCCACCCGGCCAAGTCCATTTCCAAAAACAACTCTCCTCACATGCCCTCTCCAGGGTCATTAAAAACCCACACTACAGCCAAAGCTTTTCCTCACTATCACTGATCTCCTCCCGGAGGGAGAAGGGCTCAGTCTGGGGGCTGGTCTTGCTTCTGAACCGTGACAGTGGCCAATTTATGACCCCAGACAAAAGCCAGCACTCAAGGAGAATCTCAGAGCCTCCCAGCAAAGGGCTGTCCTCTCGGCCAATGCGTCCCAGTACCACACCACGACTCAGGGGTACCACTGGTAACCTCATGGCTCCCCTCAGAGCACCTCACAGGACACTGCACCCAGGTCTCAGGCTCTGCCTCCGGGAGAGGGAAGGCTGTGGCTGGCAGCCCAGGAGGGGAGACAGCAACTCCCCCCCCCCCACCGGGAACAGCTGCAGCACAAGATGGAGGCACAGTGGGCATATCCAGTGCAAATCCAGCCACACAAAGCCTGGTGGCAGTGCCTGGCCCAGGCTGTGATCTCTGGACTGACATTCTTCATTCCACTTCCTGGGAGGCAAACGGGCTCTGGACATACCTCTGCTGTGAACACTGCTCTGGGAATCTGAGCAAGGGGCAGGCACCTCTGTACCTTCGTGTATAAAATGACTGGTGTGAACCAGCTGGTCCTGCGAGCCCCTCCAGCGTCCAAAAACCCGGCAGAAGCCAGGACATGTTGAGATGTGTGGGCTGTCAGGGGTCCCACGAGGCCATCCCCTCCGCAGCCAGCCATTCTGGCTCATCCTGCAGACACAGCTGATGTCCCTCCCACCCCTTCCTCCCTGGGGAAGACTGTGACTCAGTCGCTCTCACGTCTTTTCCCCTTGGGTAAGAAGCGGTACCCGGTGGTGGCTAAGGAAAGACAGACAAGCCCTCCAGGTTCAAGTCCCAGCTCCCCCGCTTGCTGCTGAATGGCCGTGGGCAAGTTCCTTCGCTTCTCCCACCTAAGAGCTGAGCTTCCAACATCTGCTGCTGAAGCTACAAACCCACCCACCCCGTCTCCAGAATGTTCTCACAACCCCACCTTTTTTCCTGTCCCCTGCGAAGGTGGATCAAGTGGTGAGACAGTGGAGATGCCCCTGAGGTCCTCCTGAAATAAGATGCCCAGTAAGCTTTTATCCCTGACCACGGAAGCCCATGACTGGCCAGCTCTACATAGGGGTCAGAAAGGTCTGTGAACCTGGGCCAGGGCAGGGGGCCGCCACTGAACCCACCCGGCAGGAACCCAGCGCAGTATTTAAACACCCCTAAAGTATGTCAGGCTTTTCTGCTCTTGGAGGCTGCAGAGTCCAGGGGTTAGGGACGCAGGCTCCACGGTCGGGATGCTTCAGTTCACATCCTGACTCGTCTAATTGATAACAATTTTTGCAGCTCTTTTGTCCCTCCGCTTCTCTAGACAGAGCACGGTAGTGACTGAAATGGGCTTATGTGAGATTACAACAACGCCTGAGGCAGCGTATGCCGCCCCAGGAACCGCCGGCTAGTACTCAACCCATCCCAACGTGCTCCTGAGGACGACGGATCAGGACTCAGGGCGGAAGAGCACGGACCGACCCCCGCTCGACTCTCCCGCAGGGCTTCGGAGCCCTGCAGATCCTGCGGCTCGGTCTGCACGAGTCTTCGCGGGGGAGGAAGTTCGTACCCCCCACGCGCCCCACATTTCTGGGCTCCCCCAACCCGCTTCTCCGTCGCTTCCCGACAGAGGAGCCCCAGCCCCGTTTTCTTTCCGGGGGCGGGGCGTGCACGACCGGCCTCGGCGCGGGGGCTCGCGGGCCGGGCCCCACCGCCACGCCGCGGCCTCACGGCTGACTGACAAGACGGCGCCGGGCGGCCCGGGAGCCCGCGCGGGTGGGGGCGGCCGCGGGCGGAGGGCAGGGGCGCGATACTCGCCGGCCGCGTGGGCCGCGCGCACTCACCTCCGCGCGATTCGGTAGAGCAGCACGCCAGCGGCGGCGCACGCCGTGACCCCCAGGCCGCCGGCCAGGCCGGCCGTGGGGCAGCGGGCCAGCAGCGCGCTCACTCCCTCCATGGTTCCCGGCGCGAGCGGTGGGCGGTGGCAGGCGGCGGCGGCGGCAGGGCCCAGGGCCGCGGGTAGGACTCGGAGCGGCGGCGCGCGCCTCCTCCCGCCGTGACCTTCGTCGCTTTGTAGCCGGCGCTGGCCCGCCCCCTGACTCGGCGCGCTCCCGCCGCACATCCAATCGGAGCGCGGGGCGAGCCCGGTGGGCGGGGCTCCGGCGGAAGTCGCGGTGTTGGCCCGAGCGCGCCCTCCCGTGGCCGGAGGTGGGAGGTGACGCGGAGCCCGGCCCAGCCCTCTTCTGCTCCCGCCTCTCTCACTGGCGCCTTCCGCAAAAGTCCGCCAACTTCAGCATCTCAAGCTAGTGTCTTTCCCCTGCTTGTCCTGTTTTCCCAAAGCCTCGCCAGACCAGGCCCGTGCACGCGATGCTGTTTTGCGGCAACTTGGAGCTTCTTAAGCTGCTTCCACTGAAGCCACGCCAATGGTCAAAAAATTAGTTTGTAGAAACATGACCCCGGCTCCTGAAGGTAATTGGATCTATGGGACAGTCAATGCTTCCGAACGTAATCCAACTATTAGAATGTCAGAGCTATAGGTATTGTCCTAGATGGATGAAACACTTTAAAAAAAGTAACATGCACATTAACTTTAATAACATATGTTTGAATAACTATCATGTGTTGTTGTTCAGCTGCTCAATTATGTCCGACTCTGCGACCCCGTGGACTGCAGCCCACCAGGCTTCCCTGTCCATCACCATCTCCCGGAGTTTGCTCAAAATCATGTCCATCGAGTTGGTGGTGCCATCTATTCGTCTCATCCTGTCGTCCCCTTCTTCTGCCTTCAATCTTTCCCAGCAGCAGGGTCTTTCCCAATGAGTCAGTTCTTTGCATCAGGTGGCCAAAGTATTGGAGCTTCAGCTTCAGCATGAGTCCTTCGAATGACTATTCAGGGCTGATTTCCTTTAGGATGGACTGCTTTGAGTCAAAGGGACTCTCGAGTCTTCACCAACACCACAGTTAAAAAGCATCAGTTCTTCAGTGCTCAGCCTTCTTGATGGTCCAACCCTCACATCCATACCTGACTACTGGAAAAACCATAGCTTTGACTATATAGACCTTTGTTGGCAAAGTAACGTCTCTGCTTTTTAATATGCTGTCTAGATTTGTCATAGCTTTTCTTCCAAGGAGCAAGCATCTTTTAATTTCATGGCTACAGTCTCCATCTGCAGTGATTTTGGAGCTGAAGAAAATAAAGTCTCTCTCAGTTTCCATTCTTTCCCCATCTATTTGCCATGAAGTGATGCCATGATCTTAGTTTTTTGAATGTTTTGAGTTTTAAGCCAGCTTTCCCCCTCTCCTCTTTTGCCTTCATCAAGAGGTTCTTTAGTTCCTCTTCACTTTCTGCCATAAGGGTGGTGTCATCTGCATATCTGAGATTATTGATGTTTCTCCCGGCAATCTTGACTCCAGCTTGTGCTTCATCCTGCCCAGCATTTCACATGAAGTACTCTGTATATAGGTTAAATAAGCAGGTTGACAGTGTAGAGCCTTGACATACTCCTTTCTCAATTTGGAACCAGCCCATTGCTCCATGTCTGGTTCTATATGTTTAAAGATGATTGTTAATACTGAACTGCAGTTACCTGGGCAGGGGGTGGTTAAGAAGATTCACTTCATGCAAGTGTTTTAGTACTGGTTTGCGCTAAATTACTTCTAGAACTAAAAAAAAAAAAAAAAAAAGGGAATATTTGTATTTAATTATGCAATATCTCAGTGTCGCCACAACTATTCATGTTTTGAGGTTAACATTAGAGTCCTTACTGTCCTGGGTGAGTTTTTGATTCCTGTTGCTCGTCAATCTGTCCCCCATCCTAGATCTGAGCCTTCACCAGGAATTGCAAAGAGGCAGGGCAGTGATAAGTCTGGTGGATGCTCCACTGTCTTGGAAGTCTTTCCTATATTTTTGCTTTCACCATAAATGAACTATCAGTGAAACTTCCCTTCAAAATGTGAGACGTTGCATTTAAGCACCATTCTCTTTCCAAGGAAGACTGCTGGCATGACATTCCCCTCAAAGGAAAGGCTCTGTGATGTATGTGGACAGAAAATGCACCCCACTGTTCTGCACTGGGCATGACTAGTATAAGCTCATCTCGAACATCATAATCCTTAAGTGAATGGAATGGAACTATTTGCTGGACCTTGGCCTCAGAGCCAGATTGTCACACAGCCTCTGCGGCCCCTTCCACCTGACCTGCATCTACTCAACAAGCAGCACAAACCACGAGTGGTCAGTTTACTACTTACCTCGGCAAGTGAGGCAAGCCTCAGTGCCTCTCACATCTGTAAAATGTCGACGAAACTACACGTCTCACAAGGTTGTCAGAATTAAATGAGAAATTAAGTAGCACCTCATATCCTGCTCGGCACAAAAACAGGTAAGCGATGGGTAAGCCTTACACACAGGACTACTGAAAAATGGTTAAATCTTCATGATTAAGCTTGTGGAGAAGAAAGCAGTCAATCATGGGATTTCTCCCTTAGCAGCTCAGTGATATTGCCCACTTTAAAATCCAATAACCCCTTTATAGAGAAAGCATTGCTTTCTCCTGCTTGTTCTCTCCCTCCTTGTACTCCTGGTACTCACCATTTCTTTCATTTCAATGTCCTGGTGCAGAAACAAGCAGAGAACTAAAGGATGTCAGCTCAAAGTCAAATTTACCACTTCAAGAATGTGTAAGTGAGAATTATCTCCAAAAATTCTCATACCCACCTATGGATATTAAGCAAGCTTTTGTCTAAAAAAATTATTTTTGGTTGTGCTAGCTAGGTCTTTGTTGCTGCATGGGTTTTCTCTAGTTGTGGTGAGCGGGCTGTGCTCTCTGGTTGCGGTGTTCGGGCTTCTCTTGTTGAGCACAGGCTCAGTAGGTGTGCCACACGGGCCTAGTTGCCCTAAGGCATGTGGAATCCTTCCAGATTAGGGCTCAAAGCCACATATCCTGCATTGGCAGGTGGATTCTTAACCACTGGACCACCAGGGAAGTCTGAAACCTAACTTTTAACCTATTAAACTCTGGAGGAAAAATTCAGACTTTCATGCATGCAAAGGGTTTCATTCAAGCTGCTTCGGTCATGTCCAACTCTTCTGCAACCCTGCGGACTGTAGCCTGCCAGGCTTCTCTGTCTGTGGGATTCTCCAGCAAGAATATTGGAGTGGGCTGCCATTTCCTCCTCCAGGGGGTCTTCCCGACCCAGGGATTGAACCTGTGTCTCCTGCAGTTTCTGCATTGCAGGTGGATTCTTTACTGCTAAGCCACCAGGGAAGCCCCCTCAAATTTTCATATGAATATTAAAATAGGAAGATGTTGCTCAGTTAAAATGAGCTTCTGGAATAGATATCTCTTTGCTGTCAAGCACTACAGAGCTTGACTAAAGTCATTTATTTTGATTTCCATTTAGTGTTGACAGCTGGAGTAAATTATACTAGAGGGCTCAGAAACACCAAGCAACCTCCTTTATGACCAAAAGTTAACAAAAGTTAACTCAACTGTATTTCAATTTGAAAATATCCTCCTCTCATCCCTACCAGAACATCTGCCACTGAATTTGAAGCTACAAGGTATCCATGATTAGAATCAATTATCTTTCTAAATATTCAAGTTGAAAAATAACCTTAATATATAATACATACAGACTATAGTGAAAGGGCTAACGGGAAGATTGTACATAGATCTTACCTGCCTTCTATCTTACTATCTTTTTGTTGTTTATTAAAGTTCCTTTATAAATGGGGGTGGAGCTGGGGGGTGGTTTAAAAATCTGGTAATTTCTCATTTCCAGGACTTTAACCTTGTACTAGGCTATTTCAGCATTACCAGTGCCTCTTATCAGGATAAAAGGGGACTCTGCTGGAGGACCAGGCAGTCAATCCCGCACCCTGCCCCTCTTCTCCAGTGGTGGAGCCCCCAAAACAGGGCTGAAGACCCCAGAGGGCAGGTCTGCTGCTCGCTAGTCACGTTCCACACTCACACAACTCGGGAGGCGCCTGACACTCTCACAAGTTACCTGGGCTTGACTAGGCTGAAACTGGGGAAATACATCCAGGGGCAAGCAAGTTGGTAAACTATTTTTTAAAACTCTTGCCTTTGGCACTTCCCTGGTGGTCCATCGGTAAGATTCTGAGTTTCCAGTGCAAGGGGAATGGGTTTGTTCTCTGGTCAGGGAACTAAGATCCCACATGTGCCGTGTGGCCAAAATAATATAAACTCTTGGCTTTGGTTCAAACTGGGGACAGAGGATAACTTCTGGAAAAGGTTTGTGTGTGCTCAGTTGCTCAGTCGTATCTGACTCTGTGTGACCCTATGGACTGAAGCCCTCCGTGCTCCTCTGTCCATGGGATTCTCCCAGTCAAGAATACTGGAGTGGGTTGCCATTTCCTCCTCCAGGGGCTCTTCCTGACACAGGGATCAGACCTGAGTCTTCTGTGTCTCCTGCATTGGCAGGTGGATTCTTTACCACTAAGCTCCCTGGGAAAAGGTTTATAGTTTAAAATATTTAGTGTCAGGAAGTTGTGTTTATTTTTTTTTAACTTGGCAGCTGGAGAGCTCAGATGATCAATCTGTAGGAGATCCAGAGATGAAGGAAGGAGACCAGCTGGGAGGTCTGTCCTGGCCTGCCTGGGGCCACCAAGCTGTGACACTTCTTATCTTTCCATCAGAGCAGGATCTATTAGAAAACAACTGTACTTTAATTTTAGTTTATCTCTGCGTTTCTAAGCTTATGCTTAACTGACGTCGTTAGCTACAGTTTACCATAAGGTGGACATACATAAAAGAGGACACAAACCAAATTTATACTTAAATTAAATACCATGATTTAATTTACTGGCTGCTTAATCCTGTATTCTCTTAAGTTAAAAAAACAAACAAACACAAACACCAACCAAAAGTAGTTATAATTAACTGTTAACGTTAATGAATTTAAACCTTCCAGAAAGCATGAATCCAAAAGGAAATGTCCAACAGGTGATGTGAGCCAGATATTCTATGGCTTTCCTGTTTCGGTCTCAAACATTCTACATGTCAATGGAAAAAAAAATTCTCTAGGGTTTCTCAGGTTTATTCTTCTAGAGCACAGCTTTCTGGCCTGTTACTGAGCATGGTCTTCTAACAGGTACACAATTAACTCGTAGGTAGACAACACAATGGCAGTATTTGGTATCTGCCGGATGAGCTGGGCAAAGAGTCCTCTATAAAAGGCCAGGTAACCTTCTTCCCGGAAGACCAGCCGAGCAGTCTGGACGAAAGACTTGTACTTGGTACCCTCCTCCCGGAGCCGCGTCCTGATGACTTCTGCGGAAAGAAACATGCCTTTCAGGCTATGGACGAACTGTACTTCCAAATGGTGTATGGAGAGAAGGCAAAGCACACAGCTTTATACATGTTAATGTGCAACTATGGCTCTTGGCCATCTCAGCTCTGTTTAGGTGGGGCAGCCACACAGACCACGAAGAGTTCTTTTCAGAACATTTTCTAACTCTAGGAATTAGTCAATTGTCCCAAGACTCATGTATACTTCTAAGGGGTAAGAGTGCCAAATAACTTCTAAAGGATTAGGAAAATGAAAGTTTCATTTGAGTGAGACTATTTTAAGACAGTTTATCGTTTTCTACTCTTAAGTAAACGCTGTCACTTCCCTGGAGGCCTAATTTATATTAAGTATAGTGAGTGGTATCTCCAATGAGGCTTTCATCCCATGTACTCCCCAACTTTCTCCTCCTACTAGGATCCTTCTCCATTCTATCCAGCTTAAAAAACCACCTCCTCCTTTCTCAGAGTCTTGCTCACCTGGCCCGACCTCACCCTGGCCCCTGTGGCATGACACCTGGCACTGTCCGTCAAGCGGACTGCAGGGCACGTGACGTGGGAAGTGGCAGACCCCCTCCCCGAGAGCCTATGGGGCTGCTTGGTGTCCCAGCACACGACGGGGACTCGATGACCTGTTACAAGTTGGCCGTGCGCGATGCCACAGCTGACAGTGCAGCAGGTGCTGGAAAACAAAACCTGTTTTTCATGGCACAATAAACTGAGCTTTTTTTTTAAAGTAGTTCAGTAGAACATGAGGTCTATTATGAATTCCTTACAAAATAAACTTACCCAAAGTAGCTTTCCTCAGCACTCCATTCAAGGTGGAAACTCAGAGAATTTTGTTTTTTTTTTTTAAAAAAAAGCTTGGCTCCCATATCATTTTTTTTTTAATTGAGGAATTTTAAATAAAATCCAGATTTTTTTGTTTCTTTGAAAACATCAGATGTTCCACAACACAGGGCTCACATTCTGCCGAGTGTTGGCCACAATCAGATGGAGCCAAGGAAAGCAGAGCTCCCACCGCCCGCGTGACCTGCACGCACAAGTTGAAGCCAGCTGTACTGGGACTCGGCTACCTGCATCACCTGCAGGTACCTGCATCTCCATTTGAACCCCAGAGGGCTGGAAGTACTGACACACACCAAAGGCTACTGTACCGCGCTGGAAGGCCAGGCAGGACCTACCGTGGGGGTAAGCAACACAGGAGGCACATCCCTTAGAAAGAGCAGCAGCTGCCATAAGTCCAAAAAAATTTGTGGAATTTTTCTCAGTCCCATTTGTAGAAGAGGCTAACGGAGCTTCTTTCAGATACTTCTTTAAACTTTCATAAATAGCAAAACAGATGATGGTTTCCGAAATCCCAGCATACGAGGCAGTTAATCCCCTGTAGAAGCCGCGGATGCCTTCCGTTTGGTAAACATAGCGGGCACACTGGAGCGTGTTCATCTGCTTGGAGCCTCGCACTCTGCACAAAGGAGACCAATGACAGGCCGTTACGACACATGCTGAGGAGCCCGCCCGCTGCCCCCAAGTCACAAGGGTGATAAAGAGAAAGTCCATGGGGAGGCGCCATAGTCCTCCTTGGTCTGGGGTTGGCTGAGTCCTGTCCACTGTGAGGCCAGGTCCACCAGCTACGTGGGGCCACAGGCCCACAGGATGGCACGCACATCTGTCCCAACTCAGACAAGTGCTCAGAGTCTTCGATCTACCTTTGGGAAGAGCTAGATGGAAGGTGTTCACCAAAGAGGAAAATATGACTGTAATAGAATCAAAACCATCCATGTGTCTACACATGCGGATGGATGGTACATAGACTAGATTAAAAGAGTCGTGAAGGCAGTAAGACATGGGGAAGTGCTTAAAGTGGAGAGCAAGATGAAATTCCATGTAAAGTACAGTTATGACACAAACACGCTTTAAGGAAACAATGAAGGAAAACCCGCCAAGACTCTCACAGGGTGGTGAGTTTAAGTGCTCTGTTACCACTGTAGTCTCCAAATGCTGTTATTTTGACTCTCATTCTTTCTTTTTTGGGTTTACTCATCTGGCTGCGCCGGGTCTTAGTTGCGGCATGCAGGATCTTTAGTTGTGGCATGCGGGATCTCAGTTCTGGACCACAGATTGAAACCAGAACCCCTGCATCAGGATCTCGGTGTCTTAGCTGCTGGACCACCAGGGAAGTCCCTCCATTATTCCCACATTTGTAAAGTTATAAACACGGAAGAAACTATACAATAACTAAAAGGCCTTCAGCTTGGATGCTCCTGCCCCACGACAGGAAGTTTTCATAAACTGCCTAGAAACACACAGAATCCCAGGACTGGGCAGTGTTCACAATGGCTGCACGTTGGAGACCCTCCTGTGGGGGAGCAGATCAGTGTACTGGGTTCCCGCACTCCCGCCCCCTACCTGGAATGACCTTTGTAATGCAAATGCAAGCATCCCACTCCCCTGTTTACCGTCCTCTCATAGGGGGTCTCTCAGTCTTGGCACTACTGGGACTCCTGGGGCTGGACAGTTCTCTGCTGTGGGTGGTCCTATGTGCTGTAGCGTATCTAGCAGTCTCCCTGGTCTCTATCCACTAGATACCACTTAGGCTGTGAGGAACAAATATCCAAATGCTGCCAAACATCCCCTGGGGACAGGGCCCCGGAATTCCTGCTCTAATAGCTCTACACTGCCTCCAAATACAGCTGAGTCCAAGCTCCCGCTCCTCCCCAGGGCTTTTAAGGATGCGGCTTCTCCAGGCTTATCTCCCTGTACCTCTCTCCTTTCCCAGCACATTCACATGCACGACACACCCCTTCTTTCTGCTGCTCAGAATGAACAAAGCTTCGCTGTCTCCAAATCTGCTGTATACCCGAGTCTCTGCCTGAGGCCCCTTCACTGCCAGTGCCCACTGGGCTCCTGGGCAGAGGGAGACATCCCTGCCACAAGAGCCCCTCCCTGGCTGTCTCCCGTCAAGTCCCATGCAGACTGCGTCAGGGACCCCCCAGGGTCCTGGAGCACTGCTGGCCCCTTCTCCCACCAGCCTATAATTCTCTTTATTTTCTGTGAAGCTGTGAGCTTTGGGAAGGCAGGGCTTGTGTCTTATTCTCTGCTGTTTCTGCTGCCACTGGTGCACAGAAAAACATGCAACAAATCCTCATTGCTGAGGACTCTGTCAATAGAGCCCACCCAAACAGAGCTTTAAAATGTTCTGAGCACAGGTCATTACCAGGCAGATTTTAACAAATGCACATAAAGAAGGCTTTCAACTGACCCATGCATTTATCCCCTGCTAAACAGAGTAATGTGAAGACACTGTGTGCACACTTGGAAGTAACCGCCCAAAGGTTCTAGGAGAGGACTGGTCAGGAGGTCGTAGGACAAGAGGTTCTCGAGGGTTCTATTCCTGGTGAGGAAGGGAGATTCAAGGAGACCGAAGCAGGAGACCACGTGACATTTTTTGAAAACTGCCAAGGACCTTGAAGGTTAAGCTGAGGAGTTAGGATTTGACTCTGACAGTAACTGACATTCATTGAAGCCTTCTGAGCAAGATATCTCTTCTAAATGATTAGACCTGGTACATTTTAGAAGGTTCCTTCAGGTAGAAGGGACAGAGAATGTCAAAGACCCACTTCAGAGGCTACCCGGGTCATTTGAGAGAAAAACAAGCAAAGGCAGAGCCCACCTCCATTTCTAGGTGGAGCTCTTGCTTGCTCTCTCCCCTCCTTTCTCTATAGGTAGCTTAAGGTTAGACTGGACTAGCTGGAAGTTTCCAGCGCCCCACACAAATTTCTAGGCAACCTAGTAACAAAAGGGTACTTAGAATCCTATCAGAAAACATTGTTTATCATCATCACTGACTTGAAATTACAGTAGTAACTGGGATGTTCCTTGATCTTGTTATTTAATATACTAAAGAAGTACATTAATATATTGTAACTCTTAAAAACACTGATAATTGTATTTCAATAATTGGTTTTCATTGCTTTTAAAAATATCATTCTAGGGCTTTTCTGGTGGTACAGGAGTTAAGAATCTGCCTGCCAATGCAGGGGACATGGGTTCCATCCCTGGTCCAGGAAGATTCCACATGCAACTAATGGGTAACTAAGCCTTCGAGCCACAACTACTGAGTCTGTGTGCCTAGAGCCTGTGCTCCACAATAAGAGGAGCCACTGTAACGAGAAGTCCAAGCACCCCTGCTCACTGCAGCTAGAGAAAGCCCACTTGCAGCAATGCAGACCCAGTGCAAAAAAGAGAGAGAGAAAAAATCATTCTAAAAAGTGCCTGTAGGCTTCACGAGAGACTGCCAAAGGAACCCAGAGCGTAAGAAATGTTAAGAATCCCTGGTTACAATTTTGGGGGAGGAATCCAGGATATTTGAGGGCCTTGGGAGACTAAAATGCCCTTATTGAAGCTTTGGGCGCTGCTGTTCTGGCACCTTCCCACAAGAGAGGCCATTCGGAGCACAGTTCACAGCACTCCACCTGGGGGCGGGGTCTCCCAGGAGCAGAGACCCAGGAATACCCTGGGGATCAGGGGCCACACCTGAGCGAACTCCTGACATCCCTTTGGGTGTTATTTCTGCTGGTCTTTGTCTCCTCCCTGAGGCTTGGCAGTATAAACCTCAACACAAGAGAAGTTTCTACATATGCTTATACACAGATAAAACAAAGATGGAGATGGTTAAGGATGCTACAGGTCTCACTCTACAGCTGGAACTGACGGAAGGGAAAAAACCCCTAAGAAATCAAGTCTTACATTAAGGAAGGAACAAGTAAAAACTTACTTTCGTTCTAGCTGCATCCGGGTTTTAACCATCCATATAGGGTTCATTAAGGAATTCGTGACAAAAGCTGGAAGAAAACCAAAAAAAAAAAAAAAACAAATAGAAAATGTTATCACTGAACAGATCCAATGCTTATTAAAGCCATGGTCTCCATATGATAAACCTTGAAATCAGGCTTTCAATGGCTTAATAATAAAAATGGTAAGAAGCAGTTCCATTTCCACATAACAGCTGGAAGCTATAGTCCCCTAAAATGTAACATCTATCGGTAATGTTGAACTAAAGTAAATCTCAATTTTCTAGAGCCCTGTCCATGGACAGGGCAAACACCCTCTTCCAACAACACAAGAGAAGACTCTACACATGGACATCACCAGATGGCCAACACTGAAATCAGATGATTATATTCTTTGCAGCCACAGATATGGAGAAGCTCTATACAGTCAGCAAAAACGAGACTGGGAGCTGACTCTGGCTCAGGTCATGAACTCCTTATTGTCAAATTCAGACTCAAATTGAAGAAAGTAGGGAAAATCATTAGACCATTCAGGTATGACCTAAATCAAATCCCTTATGATTATACAGTGGAAGTGAGAAAATAGATTTAAGGGACTAGATCTGATAGACAAGAGTGCCTGATGAACTATGGACGGAGGTTCGTGATACTGTACAGGAGACAGGGATCAAGACCATCCCCAAGAAAAATAAATGCAAAAAAGCAAAATGGCTGTCTGAGGAGGCCTTACAAATAGCTGTGAAAAGAAGAGAAGTGAAAGCAAAGGAGAAAAGCAAAGATATACCCATTTGAATGCAGAGTTCCAAAGAATAGCAAGGAGAGACAAGAAAGCCTTCCTCAGTGATCAATGCAAAGAAACAGAGGAAAACAATAGAATGGAAAAGACTAGAGATCTCTTTAAGAAAATTAGAGATACCAAGGGAACATTTCATGCAAAGATGGGCTCAAAGGACAGAAATGGTATGGACCTAACAGAAGCAGAAGATATTAAGAAGAGGTGAAAAGCATACAGAGAAGAACTGCGTAAAAAAGATCTTCACGACCCAGATAATCACTGTGGTGTGATCACTCACCTAGAGCCAGACATCCTGGAATGTGAAGTCAAGTGGGCCTTAGGAAGCATCACTACGTACAAAGCTAGTGGAGGTGATGGAATTCCAGTTGAGCTATTTTAAATCCTAAAAGATGATGCTGTGAAAGCGCTGCACTCAATATGCCAGCAAATTTGGAAAACTCAGCGGTGGCCACAGGACTGGAAAAGGTCAGTTTTCATTCCAATCCCAAAGAAAAGCAATGCCAAAGAATGCTCAAACTACCGCACAACTGCACTTATCTCACACGCTAGTAAAGTAATGCTCGAGATTCTCCAAGCCAGACTTCAGCAATACGTGAACCAAGAACTTCCAGATGTTCAAGCTGGTTTTAGAAAAGGCAGAGGAACCAGAGATCAAATTGCCAACATCTGCTGGATCATCGAAAAAGCAAGAGAGCTCCAGAAAAACATCTATTTCTGCTTTATTGACTATGCCAAAGCCTTTGACTGTGTGAATCACAATAAACTGTGGAAAATTCTTAAAGAGATGGGAATACCAGACCACCTGACCTGCCTCTTGAGAAATCTGTATGCAGGTCAGGAAGCAACAGTTAGAACTGGACATGGAACAACAGACTGGCTCCAAATAGGAAAAGGAGTACATCAAGGCTATATATTGTCACCCTGTTTATTTAACTTATATGCAGAGTACATCATGAGAAATGCTGAGCTGGATGAAGCACAAGCTGGAATCAAGATTGCTGGGAGAAATATCAATAACCTCAGATATGCAGATGACACCACCCTTGTGGCAGAAAGTGAAGAAGAACTAAAGAGCTTCTTGATGAAAGTGAAAAAGGAGAGTGAAAAAGTTGGCTTAAGGCTCAACATTCAGAAAACTAAGATCATGGCATCTGGTCCCATCGCTTCATGGCAAATAGATGGGGAAACAGTGGCTGACTTTATTTATTTGGGCTCCAAAATCACTACAGATGGTGATTGCAATCGTGAAATTAAAAGACACTCCTTGGAAGGAAAGTTATGACCAACCTAGACAGCATATTAAAAAGCAGAGACATTACTTTGCCAACAAAGGTCTGTTTAGTCAAGGCTATGGTTTTTCCAGTAGTCATGTATGGATGTGAGAGTTGTACTATAAAGAAAGCTGAGGGCTGAAGAACTGATGCTTTTGAACTGTGGTGTTGGAGAAGACTCTTGAGAGTCCTTTGGACTGCAAGGAGATGAAACCAGTCCATCCTAAAGGAGATCAGTCCTGGGTGTTCACTGGAAGGATTGATGTTGAAGCTGAAATTTCAATACTTTGGCCACCTGATGCAAAGAGCTGACTCATTGGAAAAGACCCTGATGCTGGGAAAGATTGAGGGCAGGAGGAGAAGGGGATGACAGAGGATGAGAAGGCTGGATGGCATCACTGACTCAATGGACATGAGTTTGGGTAAACTCTGGGAGTTGGTGATGCAAAAGGAGGCCTGGCATGCTGCGGTTCATGGGGTTGCAAAGAGTCAGACACGACTGAACAACTGAACTGAACTGTCCATGGACAGAGGAGCCTCGAGAGTCCAAAGGGTCACAAAGAGGAGGACACAACTGAGCAACTGAGGACGACTACTAGTCCTCCCAGACTCTAGGTGGTGCTGTTGGTATTTCTGTTAATGTGATTCCTATGGTGGTAAACATGAAACTATCCTAAAACTCAACTGAAAGCATCAAGTCCAGAAATAATTTGTTTTAAAGAAATAATGATCTAATCCAAAAGAGTACCTTAAATTTAACTTAAAATAGAAGAAACTAAATCTCCACTTACGTGAATCTAAATTTAGACATTTCAATACCTGACTGATCATTTTAAGAAATTGAAGTTTTAAGACTGATCTGCCTATTGGAACCATCTTTAAGTCTTCTCCATCTTAATGTTGTTTGTCACTCTACACCAACCAAAAAAGCAGTATCATGTATCACTGACCTGACACACAGCGAGTCCTTTGGAATTTGTCATCCCCTCCACATTCTAAATAGACTGATTATATAATATGACCCTAGACATGCTTCAGTTGTGTCTGACTCTTTTCGACCCTATGGACCCTGACAGGCTCCTCTGTCCATGGGATTCTCCAGGCAAGAATACTGGAGTGGGTTGCCATGCCCTTCTCCAGGGGATCTTCCAGACCCAGGGATCGAACCTGTGTCTCTTACATCTACCTGTATTGGCAAGCAGGTTCTTAACCACTAGTGCCATGTGGGAAGACCCACCCAGATAGTCCATAGATCAACAAGGACCTACTGTATAGCATGGGGAACGTATTCAGTATCTTGTAATAGACCATAAAGAAGTGAATCACTCTGCTATATACCTGAAACTAATACAACTTGGTAAATCAACTACACTTGCATTACAAAAAAAGAAAAAAAAGAATGCTGCCAGGAAGGAGGGGAAAAACCAATTATAGCAACATTAGCTCCTTGAAACAGCAAATTGAAGATTATTAAAAAAAAAAAAATTTCCCTTCAGGTCCATTTTATTTAACCAAGGGTTCCTCTAAGTTAATTTGTCAAAAGTTGCAAAACTGGTGCACAGCTTTTAGTTTATGGCTAACTCACTATTGGCTGAGGCAGTGAGGCCCCACTTCTTCTGAGCTCCTCACTCCATCCCTTTGACCTCCCTGCCAGCTCCACATCCTGTAAACACCTTTCTTGTGAAGCATCTTTGCTAATGTCATTTTCCATTTGGGATCCAAAAATTATCTGTATTCAGATAATTCAACTATTCAGATAAATTCCTAGTACTTTTATTTGGAGGAACAGGAACAAAATGGATACATACAATTTAGAGGTCAGCAGAGGGTGGAAATTTTTCATAAAATGTCAATTTAGTTCTCTAAAATACCTTCCTATTTAAACAGACAGAAAATTTATATCGAAAACGGCATGGCCTTCTCGCAGCAATCTACAACTGCAATCTATGACATATTTCTGCCAAGTATTTCCTGGGAGAAAAATCCTGTTGTGAATCTTCTATGGTAGGTGGAATGATTCCCTCAAAAAAGAACAGAAATGACACCTGATCTATCACCAACCCTGCTGAACAAACCGCACGACAAGCCCCGAGTCTTCATCACAGAATCCAGCTGCTAAGGACAACTGCACACAGGGTGTGCTAGACACCTGGGAAGTCACAGAAAAAGCAGCTCAAAGTTGAGAAAACACATTAATATTCCTTTAAAAGATACATCACACTAACCAACAGCATGCATGAGAACATGTCAAACTTAACGTGTCAATCTTAAGGCAGAATAAATGGAAGCAAGTTACAAGCTGTTCTCAAATACTCAGATTTTATCAATTCTAACATAAAGTTTCAGAAAAATGAGTTTAGGTGCAAAAGAAGCAGAGAGCTAATTGTTAACTCTTGGAAGGAGACCTTCTGGCACAACACACGCTTTAGGGAGCTGAGGCATTCATGAGCACTCACTGGTGTAACACACCTGCAGAACCAGCCGAGAAAACGTGCACGATGTTGCTGTTTGGCACGAAGACGCCATTGAACTGCTCTTTGGCTTTGGAGTAGCAGGCGAAGTACACAGCCCTGTTGGAGAAAAGAGAGAACACGGTCAGGACATCTTGGGACACTGGCCCCACGCAACCTCTGACAAATTCAGCAATATGGGGAAGAGGTTAATAGGTAATCGCAAGCTTAACCTCATCTGGGCTCAAACCAAAACCTGCTGTGGGTGCCTTGGGGAAGCTCCTGCTTGTCCCTCCAGAAAGTAGTCTGTGATGATGGAAGTGCCCTAAATAACTGAGGAAGATGAGGTTTTCATAGTATACATATGAAGTCCATTTACATTCTTCATTCTGGATAAATGCCAATCCCTTTAAGCACCAACATATACTGTGACAGTTAAAATTTATAATACATTTCCAACATATATCACACGTGTCCTGTCTTATACCATAACGAGTATGTCACATGTAATTTGAACTTTTTTCCTGATGACTTGGGACCACATAGGAACATGTAGGCTTGCACACGTTTCCATAAAGGGCTCCCTCCACTGATGTGCTCCCTACCCCAGAACAGGACCACTGGAGGGCTGGCACCCCCTCCCACCCTGCCCTTGGCTCTCCAGTCTCCTCTGCCTGTCTGCTATCCCCTTGTCTGTCTCCTCTCAGATCAGGGCTGAGGAGCAGAGCCTGCTTGTGGTTTTCCCTGCTCTTCACCAGCAATGCCAGGGAAAATGGCATTCTTTTTTTCCAGCTGGCCAATGGATCAATTACAGAATGTATTTTTCAACCTAGGATGCTGACTACTTATCATGATTGTGTTATAAAACTGTCTTTTTTTTTTCTCTTCTAGGTTCCAACTGTTCTAAATGGGTGTGGTGGCCAAGCCTCTATATCAGACTGACAGGTGTTACCAAGTTAAGCACTGTCCACAAGTAGAATGACTCCGTGTTCTTCATCAACTACATATATGCAGCATGTCCGTGTTCTCTTAATAATGCATGCCCTGCATAATCTCACAGGCTAGTACTTCCTGTATTTTCAATAGATTACACACACACAAGTTACAGAATTCTAAAGGAACAAAAGGGTTTAATAAGAATCTGCATATTTATGATATCCTCAGGAAATCTGTGTATAAACTGGAGCACTGACCTGTAAGAATTCAAGAAGCTTTTAGTCTTTACATCATATAAAAAGACACTCTCATTTTTGTTATAAAGATTCTCCTTAAAGTCTATTGTATATGTTGATTCATCTACATGTCCTAGCAGTCACACCCAACTCCCCTTTCCAGAAGGCAATTTCTAGAAGCAGTTTCTTACCTACTTTTTAGAGATACACTGCCCCCACCCCTCCACATGCAGAAACATTCATTCCCTTTCATATCCACATGTGTGTATCCTCTGCGTCAGTCCTGCCCAACAGAACTTCCTGCGGAGCTAGAAATGCTCTACGCCTACGGTCCCTTAGGCAAGGGCCACTAGCCACATGTGAACATTAAGTACCTGAAATGTGGCTGGTGAGACCAAGGAACTGACTTTTTAATTTAATTAATTCAAGTAGCCCCATGTGACCAGTGGCTATTGTATTGGGACAGTGCAGCTCAATGTATTCAAATAAGTTTTAAAGAGAATTAAATCTTGTAACAAAAATGGGAATTTTTAAAAATACATAAAGTAAAACCTAGAAGCTTTTAAAATTTTTTCAGATGAGTGCTTCCAAATGCAAATTCTGATGTGGGTCTGAGATCCTGTCATTTAAATCAGCTCTTCGGTGATGCCACTGCTGCTGACCACACAACACTATTAGGAGGAGCAAACAGAGAAAGTTCTAGGTGACGGGAGCAGAATAATTTTCAACTTAAGAATATAACAACCAAGAACCTCTTTCTAACACACACACATAGAAAGACATACCAACAGTTAACACTTCTATACATCAGATGCATTAGGATTCTCATACAGAAAAGGAAACTAGTCATCTAGCAGTACTGCCCCTCGGGTTACGAAAGGACTTGGTATATTACATAGTGTACGCTGTGGGCTAGCTGAAAGGTTCAATGCTTACCTTGATGGTGCAACTCCAACCAAATTTGGACCCAAGCCTCTAAAAAGTGACTTTGGTCCCTCCTTCTCCAAGATTGACCTAAATAATAAGAAAAGATGTATCTTTAAAATCCTTAGGCAAGGTCTATGCAAAATGATAAGGGGTCAATCTTCACATTAGCTCCTTGAATAAAGAACAGAATGTTTACAAAACCCCTGAGGTCTTATCTGATTATATTACAATACAGAATCAGAAGACTGAAGAATACTCCTTTCATTACTACAGTGAAAAAACATGCTTCAAAATCTCTCTTGTCCACACAGGAGCAATGTTCAGGGTTTGCACAACATACAGGCATTCTTGTAAGGCAAAAAGAGCACCTGACAGGTATCACAGAATCTTTTCCTTACTAGCAGGTATCAAGTCTGAGCCTTGTACATGACCCCAAGGTGCACTCTTGTCTGCAACGCCCAGACTAGCTCTCCGGTCATGCTGAGGGTCACATGAAGGAGCTCTGCTCACCACACTAGACAACTAGAGAGCATACCTCACTACAAGTACAATGCACATTTCTTTCTTCATGGCATCTGGGGAAGGTCAAAGCAGTGTGTTTCAAATGAAACCTGGCCACACAATGGAATATCATTTGGTAATAAAAAGCAGGAGACTCTTGAGAGTCCCATGGACAGAAGAGAGATGAAATCAGTCAATCCTAAAGGAAATCAACCCTGAATATTCAGTGGAAGGACTGATGCTGAAGCTCTAATACTTTGGCCACCTGATACGAAGAGCCGACTCATTGGAAAAGACCCTGACGCTGGGAAAGGTTGAGGGTAGGAGGAGAAGAGGGTGATAGAGGATGAGATGGCTGTGGCATCATCGATTCAATGGACATGAGTTTGAGTAAACTCTGGGAGATAGTGAAGGGCAGGGAAGCCTAGCATGCTGCAGTCCATGGGGTTGCAAAGAGTTGGACATGACTGATCGACTGAACAAAAGCAACAATAAAAGGAAGTACTGATGACTCACACAAAGAAGAAGCTTCAAAAAACATTAGGTTAAGTAAAAGCAGACACAAAAGGCCATATGTTGTATGATTTCGTTCAGGTGAAATAATCAGGAGACAAGCTAATTGACAGAATAGTGGTTGGCTGTCTAAGGCTGTGAGTCTGGGGATGGGGAGTGACTACAAACAGTGAGGGGATTTTTGTAGTGTGAAGGAAAAATCAAATTGTTGGCAAGGTTGCACAAAACTCTGTGAACATATTAAAACAGGTGAACTGTATGCATTTAGTGGGCAATCATATGGCACGTGAATTATATCTTAAGTGCATTTTGAAAAACTTTTTAACTGAATTTATTTTTTTATCAGGTCACACCTGATCCTAGTTCCCGATCAGGGATCAAACTGGTGCCCGCTGCAGTGGAAACACTGGACTGTCAGGGAAGTACTCTGAATTACATCTTTAAATAAAGCAGTTAAACCAAGAAACCCAGAGACTCACTGAAGAAGTTCTAAAAGATGAAAGAAATATTGGCAGTAACAGTTTTCATGTTTTTGCTCTTGTGCTAAATCAATTGCTTAACAAAAGATAAATGATATAACTGGAATACAGACTGTGGATTAGTTATATCAATATTAAATCTCCTAAATTTGAAAACTGTACTCTGGTTTTAAGAGAACACTCTTTTCGAGGAAATAAATGCTTAAGAATGAAGGGTAAAGGGACATAATGTGTGTAATCTATTTTCAGATGGTTCAGGAAAAAAAAAAAGTACGTATACAGAGCAAAAACAAATAAATGTGGGAAAATGTTTAACACAAGAGACCTGAGGTAGAGTACAAGCAAGGTATGTGCCCTGTTCCTGTCACTTTTCTTTAAGTTGGAAATCATTTCACAATAAAAAACTTCTAAAATTAAAAAGCTATAGGTCACAGGTTACAAAATTACTGAACTCATCCTAACACTCTAAAGGAACGACATGTTTTACTGCATTTTCACACTGGCCAGAACCAAGCCACTTGGTCCTTAACAGAGACAATCAGAATTTGGTGTTTTCAACTTTAAATTCTTTACTGTTAACTCTTTCTCAAAACAGGATTCAGCTTTAAAAAAAAAAAACACCACGCTCTCTGGAAAAAAAACTCTCAAATAACCATACCTTGAAGTGACCTACATCTTATAGTATAGTATGTGAAAGCTTTCAAATGGTCAATACATTTAGAATTTCTTCAAGTTTAGGCTCTGTCTGTGGTCCCCACAACTGTTCACTGTGCTGCCAGCCCTAGGAGTCACTCAAATACAATTAAGGGTGTCTCTGGCTCCAGGAAGCTGGGAGCCACGCATCTATAATGCAGTGGGGGACTGGTGTCCTCAAGTGACTCAGGCCTTTTAAGAGCTGCAGAAAGGCTGTCTCCATAGTGACGCACGCACGTTAACAGTGGGCAAAAAGTCAAATCTGTTACATAATTCAAACTTCTAACCTATCTGGATGTTTACAAAACTTTTCTGGAACAATCAAGTGCTTACTATAAATGGTATTCCTCAGCTTCAAAATAAAGCATGTTTAGGGCCCAGACTAAGTTTCCCACAGTACTATAAACTTTCATTTAGGAAAGAAATGCAGAAGGAAACTAGGGTCTTGTCTGGAGTGTTTCATTCTCTTCCCTCTTTTAGATCAGACTATGCATACCACAGATCAAGTTCCAAGGCAAAGTTCTGAGTTGAAGCTGATGAGCTTTTAAAAGAAAAACTACCTCACTAACATATTACTTTTCACATTAAAAAGGTACTTGAAAAAACAAAGTACCTGAAATAGTTTAAAGAACAAGAGTTTTGATTGGACAAAAACTTTTTTTTAAGAAGATTATGTCCTAAGACTTTTTAAGGCAGATACTTGAATAAATGTATTATGACCCTTTGGCAAATTTAACAGAGAGAGCCTAATTGTGTTAACATCTTGTCTTCAAGTAACTATATTCAAAATACAAAGGTAATCAGTGCTCCAATGGAGAATACCTTTTCTCTAATAGATTAACCTGAGACATAAGCAAACACTGAGTTGCATTTTGAAAAACAAAATTCCTGTAAACAAATTCTGTTGTCTGTTAAGCCTTTAAATGTAGCACTTCCTGGAAGAATAAGACTAAAAATAAGCAGCTTAGTTTTAAATGAATAACATCTGACTATAGGCCACCAGGCTCCTCTGTCCATGGAATTCTCCAGCAAAGAATACTGGAGTGGGTTGCCATTCCCTTCTCCAGGGTATCTTCCCAACCCAGGGATCGAACCTGGGTCTTCTACACTGCAGGCAGATTCTTCACTGTCTGAGCCACCAGGGAAACCCCCTGATAAACCCAATGGCTTCTAATCGTGAACAGATGACTTGGTGGGCTCTGTGGCACAGAGAAAAGGCCTGGATCCCTGCTCTCAGTTCACCACTTCCTAGAAAAAGAGCCTGCTCAGTAGCCCCTCACCACAGCTCTAGCCTACGGGTGATTTGTGGAAGACTCAGGAAGCACAGTCCAGTAATCCAGGTGGGTGAGGAGGGTGGTGGGGAAGCAAAGAGCAGTCATCTTCTATTAAACTATCCTAAAAGGCAATGCTTCTTAGGCTGGTACACTATCTGATGTAAGTACTGGGTAACATTCTGCTTTCAGAACTCAGTGACAAGAAACAACATACATCTACCCTGAGGAGCATGTGTGCTTTCTCCAGATGAGAGTTATGTAGTGTGACAGCCCCCCTTTTGCCTTCATTACCATGAAACTCAGCTATAAGTCTTATGTTTAAAAAGTACAGGAAGTAGATATTATGATAGCAGCTAATATGGGTTATTTACACGGCAGGGGGAGGAGTGGGTGTCAAGCTCTTCATATTCAACATCTTACTGATGTGTTACGTTCTCTTTGTCCTGCAATCTTGCCGTGTGGCAGGCGGCATTCTCAGAGATTGGGGACACCTCAGTCGTCAAAACAAATCGAAGCCCCTCCCTCTGGGGAACTTCTGTTTTGCGGGGGCGCCCGCAGGGAGAGAAAATAAACAATATAAATCAATACATTACAGTGTATGATGGATAGAGGTAAATGCTGTGGATAAAAATAGAGCAGGACAGAGAGAATGTGAAAGAAGGGCCTGGTTTTCAATAGCATGGTCACTGCAAGGCCTTCCTGTAAAGGGCGACAGCTGAGAGGCAGCCATGCAGATAATGTCCAGCAGAGAGGCCCTGCTGTGGAATGTTCCAACGTTCTGGTCTTTTATTAAAGGGCCAGTAAGGAGGCCAGTATAGCCAAAACGGTTCAGGAGAGGGAAATTCAAGGAGGCGAAGTCAAGGAAGTACCGGGAGGGGTCCAGCAGGCCCATGGGCAGCTTCAGCTTTTACTGGGAGCGAGAGCAGAAGGATCTCCTCCGCTTTGCTGAGAACAGCCTGAGGATGGAGCAGGGTGCAAGGTCTTTTGTCAGGCCAGTTAGGAAGATGGGTTGTCTTGCATGTGGTGTGGGTGCTGTTCATGTGTTTTAATGGAGAGGTTTTTTTTTTTTTGTTTTGTTTTTTTTGGTTTACATTTTAGTAGAAGATGTGTCCTAATACACTTGAACTAGAGAAACATTCCCATTTACCTTAGGGGCTTGGCCCCAGTGACACGCTTGACTTCCGGGTAATAGGTCCCCAGTTACAGTAAATAAATAAATCTACTAGTCATGCGAGATTGGCAAGTATGTAAGAGGAAGTTCACCTTGGATGTTAGCAAAGCTGGCAAATTACCTCTGTTTCACTATGTCCAAAGCACTCCAAGTTCCTCAGAAGCAAGACGTCACTGGAGACACTGCTATTGACTAGACTTATTAAAGGCGAACAGGGGACGGGGTGTCTTCAGAGCCGGTCTCTCCTTACTGACAGCAAAGCAGGCCTCCCATTTCAGTGCCCCACCTTTCCTGGCCTGCCCCTGACCTTCTGCATTTCGTGTCTCCACAATCCTTCTCAGCATTCAATTAAAAAAAAAAAAGATCCGCCTCGAGTCTTGGCTATCAGCGACCTCTTTCTCTAGTTGGGACCTTGCCCTCAGCAGCTGGGGCTGCTGCCCAGTTGGGCCCAAGCTCGGATGTACCCTGGTACGTGTGTTTGGCATGGGTGCCTGAATTACCCAGAAGTTGGCCTTACAAACAAAACGTACCTAAAAATAAATTAAGCACTTTCAAATCCATTCTACCTTATCTAAACTGTGACTGAACTCTGCCCCAAATCCAAAGTGTTGTCGTTATGAAGACAGAGCATCTCCATTTTATTGCATCTTTTTCTAACGCTTCCCCACTAAACATCCACACTGGTACACAGCTGTGTCTCTCTTGAACCCACACTCTCCCAAAGATCAGTTTTAGAGCTCTGAGTAACATGTGGGGTCAAAGTCAGTCATCATTTTAAAGTTCTCTTTTAAAAGCAAAGGGTCCCTGAGCTAAAATGCAGACATTGCCAAGTGCTCTTCTGAATTTCTGATTTTGCCTTAAGCATAGAGACTGATAAGCCAAATTCAACTTAATAATATTCGGCAACTTGGTAAGCAACTGAAATATTTTAATACTGCAAAAACAGATAAAGTAGGTGGGTAGGCTAGGTATGAAACAAAAATTGTAAAGATCAGCTTACTAAACATATACTGTAGTTTTTCTATAAATGTAAAATTATTTTCAAATAAAAAGTAAAAAAGTACAAAAAAGTACAACATTTTGTTCCCATATTACTTCCTCTTAAAATATTCACAACACTTCTCTTGTGCAATTTTAAAATTCATTCTACAAGCCTCAGAGCTTCTCGCTAGCACTCAGAAGACTTGGGGCAAGAGCAACACTCTGATGTAACAATTTAAACATGGATTGTTTTGAGTTTGCTTTGTTAGGTTTACTTTAACTGTCCCTGGATGGTGATCACACGCATGCCGGGAGCCCTGAGGCCAACAGAGCAAAGTCTGAGTTAAAGATATTGGTATAGATACCTAGTTCTTAAATTTGGTCACAGCCTCTACAGACAGAACATCCCATCTGATGGGCCGGATAAACATTCTGCATTGACAGTGGCAGGGTGGGGGTGGGGGTGAGGGTGGCATGAGGCCAGAACCGGGACTGAACTTACTTCAGAACCTGCAAGAGTCCAGGCGTCACTGACGTTTGTCTCACCACCCCAGCTCCGCTGATGGTCCCCAGATGAACCTGAGGATAATAGACTGTCCGAAGAGCTAATCTTGAGGACTGCAACCTTGTCTTAATGACTTCTAGTGGACAAGTGAAAATAGCACCAACTGTGCCCCCACATCTGTAAGAAAGGAAATCACAACAGGATCAGAAAAGCTATACTGAGCTGTGCATACATGAAATGGGAAATGGAATTTTTCTCTATTAAAAAAAGAAAAAGAAAGGTACCTATGTTCATTTCATAATTAGAGCATACCAACAGGGTGGGACAAACGGAGAGAGCAGCATGGAAACATTAATACACTAACATGTAAAACAGACAGCCAGTGGGAATTTGCTGAATGACTCAGGGAACTCAAACCAGGGCTCTGTGACAACCGAGACGGGTGGGATGGAAAGGCTCAAAAGGGAGGAGACATATGTACACGTATGGCTGCTTCATGTTGATGTATGGCAGAAACCAACACAATACAGTAATTATCCTTCAATTAAAAATAAATAAAAAAAATTGGTTGAAATCCCAGCAGCTAAAAAGATAACCACTGTTAACATGCTAGTAGTACACCCTTCAGGGCTTTTCATTGTTGGCTTTTTAACCTCACATCTTCTTCTTCTTATCTAGATATTATGAATGTCTTTCCATGTCAATATATATACACCTACATCACCATCACTTGCAATGGTTGCATCCTATTCTCCTATTCCTATCTATCAATGTATAATATTTTAACCTACTTCCTACCATTAGATGTTCACGTCATTTCCAATTTCACTCTCATACTGCAATGAACAGTCTAGAAAATATCTTTTCACGGTGAAATAAAAGTTATTCAGGTAATGCTACTATTTTGAAAATCAGTGTTTACTACAAATCAGATTTTTATTAAAATCTAATTTGGACTCCACTGAAAATCAAACTAAAGCTTACCTTTTAATAATGAAGTCTGTGTGTTTCACTCAGAACTAATCAATTCATCCTCCAGAATTTCATTAGATGCACTGGCTCTGTGGGTCAGAGTTCCCTAAATGATCCTTCACAATTGGTTCATATAAAAATATTACCTGAACTAAAATTTAAATATTTTCACCTATTTATCCTAATATACAGGAGAAGGCAATGGCACCCCACTCCAGTACTCTTGCCTGGAAAACTCCATGGACGGAGGAGCCTGGTAGGCTGGCAGTCCATGCGGCTGCTAAGAGTTGGACACAACTGAAGTGACTTAGCAGTAGCAGCATCCTAATATACAGTACGTCAAGGCTGTGTATTGTCACCCCTGCACCCTGTGTATTGTTAACCCATATGCAAAGTACATCACGTGAAATGCCAGGCTGGGTGAATCACAAGTTGGAATCAAGATTGTTGAGAGAAATATCAACAACCTCAGATATGTAGATGACATCGCTCTAATAGCAGAAAGTGAAAAGGAACTAAAGAGCCTCATGATGAAAGTGAAAGAGGAGAGTGAAAAAGCTGGCTTAAAACTCAACATTCAGAAAACTAAGATCATAGTATCCAGTCCCATCACTTCATGGCAAATCTTAGAAGGGGGAAAAGTGGAAACAGTGTCAGACTTTCTTTTCTTGGGCTCCAAAATCACTGCAGATGGTGATTGCAGCCATGAAATTAAAAGATGCTTGCTCCTTGGAAGAAAAGCTATGACAAACCTAGACAGCATATTAAAAAGCAGAGACCTTACTTACCAACAAAGGTCCATCTAGTCAAAGCTATGGTTTTTCCAGTTGTCATGTGTGGATGTGAGGGTTGGACCATAAAGAAGGCTGAGAGCAGAAGAATTGATGCTTTTGAACTGTGGAGTTGGAGAAGACTCTTGAGAGTCCCTTGAATAGCAATGAGATCCAATTAGTCAACCCTAAAGGAAATCAACCCTAAATATTCATTGGAAGGACTGATGCTGAAGCTCCAATACTTTGGCCACATGACGTGAAGAGCCGACTCACTGGAAAAGACCCTGATGCTGGGAAAGATTGAGGGGAGGGGGAGCAGGGGGTGATAGAGGATGAGATGGTTGGATGGCATCACTGACTCATGGACATGAGTTTCAGCGAAATCCAGGAGACAGTGAAGGACAAGGAGGCCTGGTGTGCTGTAATCCATGGAGTCGCAAAGAGTCAGACATGACTTAGCAACTGAACAACAACAACAATCATAAAATAGCTATTTCTGTCTTTTCTTAAACAATAATATCCATGAAACTGCATGCCTGGTGGGCTGGTTCTAGATAACAATGTGCCAGTACCACCTGAAGCCACTCCTACACCACCAGAGGTTCTTCTCTTTGGAGAAGATCAGAACACTGACGATCAGAACCTGCATCGTATTCATCTCTGTATCACTGGCATTAAGATTCGCAGGTTCACAAACAATATTTGTTCATCAGAAGAGGAATTACTAAACTACCCTGAGAGGGAGCTAAATGTTTGAAAATAGCACTTACTGTCTAGCTTCTATCACAGGCCGGAAGGCAGGAGCTGTGTACTGTATGTTCTTGCACTTGGTTAGAGCACAGTACAGGCCAAACAGGTGGTTCAATAAAAATGAAACAGCAGAGGCATCTATGATTGGGAAAAGCAACAAGAAAGAGGAGGGAGAGGCCTTGGCAAACACAGAAACTGTGAGCGAGCTTCCTAACTCAATGCAGGTGTTAAAAATCTGGAAGTGAACCCAGCCCCTCAGCCCCCAGGACAGGCCCTGAGGTAAGGGGTGAAGACAAGTTCCCAGGCAGCATTTTAAAACCAGGAGCCTATAGTTACAAATAGCAAGTAAAGTCCTGATAACTAAGAGCTAGATAGACGCTATCAACTTAATTGCACTGCTGCCACTGATGAATGATTATTTTATGACAAGAATTCAACCCTCCAACAATCTTAGTAGGGTAGGATTGTTTAGCTTCAATTTACCACAAAGAGCCTGAATGTCAGAAAAAAAAGAGAACAACACACAGACTAGGGGAGCGGGAGGAGAGGAAAACAGCCATTTGGAACTATGTAGGTAAACCTGCCTTGAAATCATGATGGTAAGAATACCCTAAACTGAGCTTTCACTGCCAAGTGCCGGGGTTCAATCCCTGGTTGGGGAACTAAGCTCGCACAAACTGTGGCAAAAAAACAAATGTAACAAGACAAACAACAGAGCTGTCTCTTCAGCAGTGTTTGCTGAACTGTGGCCAAAACCCATTGAACACAAAGCACCGAAGAGAATCTCAACCAGAACAGTAAGGGAGGATGGCAGGAAGGACTTGACCTGCGGGTGGGACAACTATCATGTTAGCTCCCGATTGTGCAGGGTGGTATCATCCTGACCTCACAGGGAACCTGGGTCTCGATGAGGTTTATATACTTTCTCAAAGCCGCAAGTGCCTACGTGTCTCAACTGAAAACCAAATCCAGACCCTTTGTCTGCAAAGCCTGTGCTTCCTTCTATACTAAGATAGCCTTTCTGGGAGTATTACAGAAGGACAGGTGTTTATATATAGTTTGTTAAGCTAGTTCACACTATTTGCAATTCACAGTTAAGATGGAAAATTGTCAATTAAGACAACTAGGACTTATAACTTTAATGTGTTTTTCAGTATGAAGAAAAAATCCTGAGCCCAACTGAATGTTGGTTGATATAACGGGCTCCGAGCACAAAAATATATCTAAAGAAAATGGGATATAATAGGGAGCGTTAAAAAAAAAAAAACACAAAACAAGCCTTCCAAACCTGTATCAATTCATGTAAAATAAATTGCTGTTAATCTATTACAATAAAGATTAGGTGATGATTCCATGTCGCTGAAAAAAAACAACAACAAAACCAGAGCTTGCAGTAAATTCTTGCATCAGAAAGTCAACAAGTCCCAATAAGACACGGGTCAACCACCTTTGCCTTGTCCCCAGGTCAGCCGTGCTTCTTACCTCGGCCAACTGTTGTCTACACGGATGCCACTGGTCAGAGGACAGCCTGCAGAAGTGCTAAGCAAATACCCGCTGACAGCAAGCTGGTCACCTCCTGGGTGGGGGTGGCAGGCCACACTCGCTCCACGGCCACCGTTCTGTATGCTACACACCCACGTGCCCAGGGCAGAGGGCCGGGTGGTGAAAAGACTCTGGCCTCCTCCAGGGGCAAACTGAGGGTCTCCACATGCCTCTCCTACAAGAGGGGTGGCGCTGCCCCACGGCATCCCAGGAAACAAATACAAAGTGCTGGGAAAGCACTGCAAACTGTAGTGAGTGCAGTAAGAAGTAAATGCTCAGGCGCTAAGTCCCTCCTCATCCACCAGGAAAAAAACACCTAAATGAAAATACCCAAAGGATATTTAATTAGAAGAAAAAGGTTCTAACATTACACTAAATTGTCCAAAAGAAGAGTCTTCCCGAAATTAAAGACATTCTAGAGCAGAATTTTAAAAGCTAATCTTTCTGGGACTTCCCTGGTGGTCCAGTGGTTAAGAATCTGCCTTGCAGTGCAGAGGAAGTGGTCAGGGAACTAAGATCCCACATGCCTCAGGGCAACTAAAAACTCGGGTTCTGCAACTATTGCACGCCGCAATAAAAACCCAGCACAGTCAAAAAGAAAAGTTAATCTTTTGATAGAACTGCTTTTTCTTTCTTTATGAACCAAACACACAGGACATTCATCAGTCTGAGGAGACAGTAGACAAAAGAAATCAAAATACTGACTTCTCTGAGATTGGCTTTCCAAATTCTCTAAAGATATTTAATGAGGTTGGGTCCAAAGCACCTAAGAGTACAACAAATTATATTCTTTGTAGAAAAAAAGGCCCTGTCAATTCTCAATTCTTCAATGCAAAGACCTTCCAAGTTAGCCCAACTCCTCACCATGGTCAATTACCTGGGATGAAGCCCCATCGCCAGCGATTCTGCCGAAGGTATTAATATTAACGAGCTTTTCAGGAATCTCGGTTAGAAAGGGTGGAGACCTCAGCTCTGCCTGCCAGTCCTCCCCAGCCCTTGCCAGTACTTCTTTTCAGCTGTTCTTCACCGAATCCCGCCTCTCCTATCCTTTCAGTTTTTCAAATTTAGTCCCCTAGAACTTCAATCTCAAATCTGACTCACAACTTGCCTCTGCCACTGCCAGCTAGACTGAGGGGACTT